TAACTCTCAGTTGGGGAAGAATGTAAAACATACAGGACCTGTATTGAGTGCGTATCGTCAGTGCTGCGTATCACACAGCAAATAGGTTGCCATTCTAATCAATGCAGCATTGCATACAGGACACGTGTCAGCTCCGTCGCAGCTCCGTAACAGAAGCGTGTCAAGCGCAGCACTGCTAAAGGTGCGCGACAAGTTTATTTTTGCTGCTCTACGCTTCCAATACGTGTAAATCCACACAGAGAAGATCGTTCTAGACAGGATGTCAAGCACGAAAACCACTCTACAGAGCAAATATGGAAAGCGCTCAACAGAGATCCTGTCTGTTTTCGGCTTAAGGCATGGCTGATTTTGAACATCCAACAAAGAGGAACCAACAAATCAAATTCTAATTTTGCATCACTATTAAAATCTCATGGTTCATAATATATTTTCTTACATAATACGGTTGATGTTCCTGTTTGAGGATGGGACAAGAGTATTAAGTGCTGATAGGGTATCTAGAGCAATGGTGCTGCTGGTGGGTTATCAGTGGAGGTCTGGGGTCTTTAAGGGCACAAGGTGACTGTGTGTCTGAGAAACAGTCCTGCTGGTCTTCTTAGATAACCTTTTTTATCAGCTTTCGACTCAGAATAGCAACATCAAAGCATGCACAGATGGAGGGATGAATGGACTGATGGAGGACAGATGGATGGTAAATGTTTTTTTCATGGATGGCTATTTTGTGAAGTGTCCAGGAATTTCAGATCAATCTGATTTCAATGTTTTTTCAGCAGAAAAGTTCTATAAAAGCATCAGAGCATCTCAGTGTTTGATAGAGATGCCTGTGAGAAGATAAGCAACTGTAGATAGGAGTCAGAGGGATGAAATTTCCTCGGAAAGGGAGAAGAGAAAGGAACTATCATGAGGAAGGGGGGAAAGTTGAATTATCAGTCATAAATTATCTAGCTGTTTTGGATGAAATACAAATCCACACTCAATGGGATATTGGTTTGGAAAATCCTTGGAGTTTTCTACGAGCTCCCACATCTTGAAATGTCAGCACATCTGTTCTCACACTGTCACTTAAGAGCAATCTTTATGGCGCTATTTATTTTCTTTACAATAGGAAGCCTTAAACAAGAAACAGCCTTCAAGCGTTTGCTGTGCCAAAATATGTCAGAAATAACTCTGACCCCAGTCATGTAAACAATCATGCCCGATTTTCTCAGAACTGCCTCTCTGATGTCTGGGAAAGCTTGTGTAAGTGTGTGTTTGTGTGGGAGTGTGTGTTGCTATGTCATGCGTGCAAGCGTGTGAACACAAGATAAATGAGTTTGTGAAGTGCAGAGAGTGGGCTTGTTGTATGTGTTTAACCATGACTTCTTTCCCCACCAGAATGACTCTCTACTCGGTAAACTCAAACATCAAGTTGTTAACCACCTTAACACGCAGAAAAAGTGCAGGAATTGTGCATTCCTATTTTTGGGATGTTTGTATATCTTGGCTGGTTGTGCTTTGTCTGTCTGCTGCTCTATAAGAAAGGGCAAAGGTGATTTCCTGAGGGACTGAGACTGATGGTAACTGGGTTCAGGATTTGATGCTCCACATATGTTCTCCGACCCCCAAATCATACACCATCTACCACCCTCACCAAACACACCACTTATGTCCCTATATGTCCAAAGACCTACCTTTCCCTGCTCCAACTCATCACTTTAAGCTCTCGAAAGAAACAAAGCAGAAAGAAGTAACCCACTGACAGAAACAGGCCAGACTCGGTCCAAAATACCCAATCAGTACAGATGTAGGATCACTTTGACCTCTCATAGACAGGCTGGAGTTTTTTGTCTGTTTAACACCTGGTCATTAGGTTTTACATATATTTGGTGGAAAGATAAAAAGGCGTGGTTGCTCTCTTCTATATACAGACTCCTGCAAGTGTTGTTGATGAAGCTGATATCCTAAGTCTTGCCCCTTCTTGACTTTGATTGTTGAGTGATTGAAAACTGACAGCAAGGAGCACAGTGGTGCTTCAAATGTTTAAATATTTCCAACTGGAAGCACTGTGAGCACAGCAACAAAAGATGATCATGAAAAGAGCCAAGATGAAAAGTGTTTATAGAAGATATGCACAGTCAGCTCAAAAATGGACATTAGCCGACCATCTTGTTACCATTGGGCTGAGCCACTGTGTCAAGCCTTTTAGTGACATGTCGTGGTTCCTCTCTCTTCCAGTGGGGACTTGTTGGTTGGCTTCCGTAAGAGTGTTTAGTATAATTTGGGCACTGCACCCCCTATAGTTTATGTTGTGGGAGTTAACAGGACGGACCTCTTAGCCAGGACTCCTGTTCTGACATTATATTACATCATTTATGATGCAGCAAGTCAACAAAGTTGTGAGAAAGAGATCATGGCAAAACACAGTTCTGCCTCTGCCATCTACTCAGACTATGAAGGCTGTATTGAAGGATACTACCTCAGAACTGGGACACAGCTCATGATTACCATAAATACGGGAAAATCATATCAATGCTATTTTATGATATACAAAAGCAAACATGACCATCAGTACTACCAACAAGATTGCTGTTTTTTACATGGTCATTTTTGATCCTTTAAACTGGTGTTAGGAGGTAGGTGTCAGCCAAGATGCTGAGGAGACACTTTTAAATTCTCATTTTAGATTTTGTCCACAGGGGGTGCCAAAACGGACACAAACCAAAAGATCTTTACTGGAGCTTTAACTAACTGGCGGATATATTTTCTCTGAGAAATTTCAAACCATTGCACTCTATGCTAACATGGTCTTTTGTCTTATGATTGTTAGCTTTTCTATATTGACAAGGCCATGCTTTTTTAAAGATTTTAATTGTGTATCGCAACATATCTCTGGGTTTTATCAAATGAAACCCAGATAAGATTAAAAGGAAATGATATCTTATCAGTTAGATACAATAAGACACTTACGTAGTCCATTTACATACAGTATACGACAGGGTTAGAGTATGTTGTCACATTCCCAATGCAGGGGTATTTTCCTAGCATGTGACCCTGCTATAGTGGCTCTGTGAAATGAATGGAGTATGTTTGTGAATGAATTACTGTGTGAATGGCCATCAGTCACTGCTGGGCTCACAGCCCCCTCACTGACAGTGGGCTCTGTGGGCGAGTGTGACACTGTGATGCTCCACATAAAGAAAGGCACGATAGAGATCTGCGGACGTAGTAAAGACCATCACAGAGAGCGCTCAACCAGCAACAACAATAAGACAGGTCTGCAATTGGACATGGCCATCCCAAAGCTCCCCGGCTCCAGAGACACGCTGGACAACATAAAGGCTAAAAACACACTTCACATCTGATTAGACAGGGCTGCTGTGACCGCTGACAGAGGGCTCAGAAACAGGTCAACTCCACACAGTTAACCCAACAAAATGCACTGAATGAGTGAAAAATGCAGATTTAAATATTTAAGGGATTGCATTGTTGATTCTAGTACAAAGGAATTGTACTGAAATGCTGATCTCGCTTAACAGGTGAAGTACTAGTATTACTCTTCAGCATGTTCATTTAAGACTATTAGAGCGACAAAAGAAAACTAAACCAACTGCAAGAGGGCTGACAATTCCTATGTTGTAAGTTTGAAATTTGATAATCACTGCAAGGAGTTAAACAGTGAGGAAAAATCTTTTTTTCTAACTTTTCAGCAGATAGTCATGATGTGAGCTGTTTAAAAATATGAAATTTTTCTTTCTGAAAAATATTGATCACACAAATAAAGACAAAAACTGCCAAAGGTGTTAGAGTAATGGGTGCTTGTGTGTCAGAGCTTCAACATTTTAATAATGGAGTTCCTCAAGGAAGCATTCTTGGGCCTATCCTATTCTGCCCATACTTTCTTCTATTGTTTCTAACTGTACATTTTTCACCTTTTGGTCAAAACTGCATTTTCTTACACTTGCCTTTCAGACATCAATGTACAAATGAAGATAAAACCAAAAATTATTTAGTAGATGCCAAAGTAGCTGAATGAAGATTTCAAATTCAAATTGCATTTCAATCCAATGATTGAAAAAAACTTTCATTGCATTTCAGGACAGTTTTTAGGTCCACATTAGAATGGACTAATCCTTATCAGACTGTCTCTATTCTGGTAGTCAAGTAGATACAATGAAAGCTACTGTCTCATGTTGACTTTTGGGTTTATTGTGCAAGTAAATGCTACACAGCTACATCAGTGTGGTTTGAAACTATGACGCAAAGGTAAGACACAGTTTCAAAATGCTTATTAGCATTTAGTTGATCAGTCTTTTTAAGGATAACACGAGAAACGTGACGAAATATGCAGGGTGCATGTAGAGAATGTGCAACATATTTCAATAAAATGTATGATAAACGAAACCCATCACAGCTCTACTTGTTTTGAGTGTTGTTAAAATTGAGTAGTTTAAAAAAGACAGAGTATGAGTTAGGCATTATTGTACAATGGCTTGCTCCAAGAAACAAACCAAAAATATATGAAATCCCTCACCTGAAATCACAGAAATGCAGTTGGATGTAACACCAGAAGGAAGACAGTGTGGTGACTTAACTGCAATGTATTAAAAGAGGGCATTGCATGTAATCCATAAAATAGCACATTTATCTCAGACATTAACTTTGTTTCAAGCTACAAGGGAAAGGGATCTGTTTATTTATATCATGAAACTCCCATTAAAATACCTGTTAGTAATCTCGTCTCTTATCTCATGAACATTTGTTTTTGTCTAGACTAGCACACAGTATAATTAAGAGATTCTAGACAAAAGACCAGAGTAATGTGGTCTATCGATTGGCAGCAGATGTAATCCATCCTCTTCAAACACCGTAGTTTGGAGATATTCTCGGCATCTGGCAGAATCTGTCCTGATGATTGTCTGTGGAGTTGTACACATCCTCACCCAAAAAACTAGTCATACAAACAGTAAAGTCCTTGGCCTGCAGTGCTATGGTCTACATGTGTTTACAAGCGCAACCCATGAATGCCCAGCACATTGCAGAGACCACAGCTGTCTCCTCCACCTCCCACCCAGCAAAACCCATCATTCCACATCTGTCCTCCTGTAGCTGCCAGTGAGGAGCGGTACACTGGTGCAGAACAGCCAGAGGGGGTCCAAGTGCGGCATGCTTCACCAGACGAGGAGAAAGGTAGACTGTGGTGGTCATATGGTTGTTTATTCATGGAGTGTGAAGTGAAGAAGGGAACAAGGGAGAGGAGAGAGGAGAGAGGGGTAAAAGATGTGAGCAGAGGTTACATTGGAGGGACTGTGGAGGGAAAATAAACACAAAGAGCCACAAACAGTGGAGCCAACAACGGTGTGTCAGGTCTGTCTGAGGTTTATGTTCCCTATAAACATGACAAAACTGTCTACTTTCTGAGATCATCCTTTCCATTGTTTGGACAACCTAAAAACCCAATACCTCCACGACTTCCTTTTGACAGAGCTAAAGCTTAGTCTAACAGATGCAAGGACTCATATTCACACAAACACACACACATACAAAACTGTTACAACACTGCCCTTGCTTTGGACCCCTTTCCCCAGGGTCCTTACCAAAACAATCAAATCACCAACACAGGAAAAGGAACATATGCCTCCAACAAACCCACCATCTCTTGAAACTACTACTAATGCTGAAAACCTTCTCTCAAACACGATCTGGGTCCCAGCTTTTATCACACGAATATTTAAAATGCTCAAAGTTCGCAAATGAGATTTTATCGTGTTTAATGTGCTAGGTTCCGGCCTATTTATTTCAACTTCACACCCCAGCAGCACTTGGTTCAACATCACCAGGACACACCATAAAATAAAGTCTTATAAAGATGGAGTCGATAACATATCAAAGCTTGAATTCCCAGAGGTTAAGCTTGCTGGAGCTAATGTTTTCTCTGCAGCTCTCATTCTGATGGATTGTTTTCTGTGGATGTGGCCCAAAAGATAAAGACGTGACCTCTCAACAGACTGCCAGCTCCACAAGAACGTCACCTTGGAGGCACTCGCTCATTTGACATTCTTGCTGCCTTGGAAAAGTTTCCTGCAAATATAGCCCAAAAGGGTTGAAAGACAAACAGTCTGGGGGAAAGAAAAAATGCCATTGTTGGAAATTACAATTGAGGAAGGCACAGCCTCCAGTGGTAGATTTTTGTTTTTATAGATTTTTTTTTACTTGTTTACATGCAGTAGAGTGTGTGCAAATTCATATCTGTTATCCAGGCTCCTGTGAGAAGCTTTTAGCTGTTGGTGAACTGAAAACACTTTTAACCACAATGATGTAAAGAAGCACAATATATGTGAAGTCAGTAGATAATCAACTTAACAAAGGGAATACTTTGCTATTATTTATTATTCTGGTAATGTATTTTGTCCATTAAAACAACTGATAAAAGTTCCTGTCTTTACTCATAAACAAGCCTACACATTCCAGCTCAGATAGTGGTAAGCAACCTGAAGCCAAAACAAGCTCACATGAGTCAAACACCTCATCAGAGATAGGTTTAAGCAGTAGTAGCTATTTGCAGCAAGCACCAAAAATGGAAAGTGCTGTAGTGGTGATTCAACAGGCATTGGAAAAACTGTAAAACCGTCACTAGAGACAAACTGAAGCTTAATTAATGACAAAACCTTCTGAGTTACCAGCACTTGATGACCCACGTTTTTCTGAGGTAAACACTTTGGACGCTTCTTTGCAGACACATCCCTACCTGCCCTGTATGTGATCTTTACACACATTCATAATCTGATCAACAATGACAACAATTTACTGCCAACACAGGTTTTATCACAGACGTTTGGACTTTTGACATTTGTCAAATAAGTATGCTTGGTTTGATGGCCCAGTGGCTGGATGAAGAGTTTAACATACAGAAGACTTTGTTGCATGCAGAAGAGTTTTCCAATTAAAACTAAAAAAAAAAATGAATATAATATTATTACCCCTGAAGAGTCAGAAATATTCCTCATTTTAACCTTTTTTTACCCTCTGGTGTGGATAACTGACAAAAATATCAGTGAAGAAAATACTTTCGATGACATTGGCCGTCAGGATCATGTTATTTTTCAGCATCCTGCCCAAAAAATCAATATTGTGCATCCCTGCTGTGCTGTTATGTTTTAACGGCCATAACTGATGCTGTGGGTTAGCCATCAGATAAAGTTACACTCGTGAAAAAACAACCCTTGTTGACATTTCTGGAGCCAAAAATTGAATGAGTAATACTCATGCTAACCCAATGACCCTGTTTTCATCAGACAACACTACTTTCACACACACAAAGATTAACAAGTTAGATGAGAGGTCTGATTTTGTTATTTGTTAGTCACACAAAAGGAAAGTTCTCTAGTTGTAATTCTCCCAGAGTATTTCTTAAACCCTTAAGTATATTTAGTTCATTTTATCACCCTAATGAACTGTTCACTCACACGCTAATAGAACATGTTTGGAAATCAAGCAGTTAAAAACATATTTGGACATTTACACCAAAGTGTAACTTGTAAGTGGTGAGACGGTATATAATCCAGAGCATTAAAAACTAGTGACCGTTGAGTTGTGATGTAATCTTTCAGAGTGCTCTCAGCCAAAGTGATTGTGTGGTGGTAAAAGGGGGGCTGGGTATGATGGCAGGTTAACTGTGAGACTCAGACAGTAGTCTGGTTGTGTGCAGTATCTATGGCACATGTGTGTACATACTGCAGTTAGTCCTGGGTGTGAAAGGCCTATGTGTCTGGGCGTCGGTGACTTAATGACACCACTTACTGGCTTAATTCACACTCAGGTTCTTGTGCATGTTTGAAAGAAAAAAAATCAACATGCGAGGAAATCCCTCCAACAGAGCATCAGTTGTGTCAGTCAAATTGGAGGTGAACACTTTTAGAGGTTCATGTTTGACCGTCTTTGATCCTTGCTCCGGGTCCAAATAGGATTCTGTTTATCCTTTTATCCAACAGACATCATTTGGCTTGTTTTCACGTTGGCAACTTTAAAAGTGACACCTTATGCAAACTGAATATTCTCTTTCTCAACCTGGGTCTGGAGCTACTTATGAGGTTAATTACAGCCTAAAATGGGGAACATGAGTAGAGGATGGGCCCGGTTTAAGAGTCACAAACAAGTCAGAGAGAAAGGGGTTTGGAGGGTGGAGAGGGACTAAAACAGGACAGGGCAGAGCCCAAACATCTTTCCACTCCTGTGTTTTCATTTCAGCTTGTTGCGTCTCACAGGAAATGCCCTCCACTGTTTCCATGAAAGCTTCTTCTTCTTCTTCTATGGTCAAATTCCAGCAGACTATTAATAAAACAAGAGAACAGAACACAGTGTCAAGAGATTGCTGCATTTTTCCCGCTTTTGCTTTTGCACTCGACTTTTACCGTCATTTATTGTCAGTGATGCCTCTGTGCGTTGTTGTCACTGTAATTTCTTACATAACAAAGAGCAGTGGAAACGAAATATGCCCATTTGGTTCCAACTTTTCCTCTTATTGTAAGTTTTCTTTTCCATGGCTCTCTAAAGACAAATTGTGATTAGATAAGTCACGCTTGTGGGACATTGTTATGCCATGAAACAACTTGTACCCATGATTCAGATCCTGTGCTCCACAAACACTGCCCAGCAAGGCTTCACTTATTAACCATGGTGTGTTCACACGCAGAGTGGTACAATAGACGGAAATACAAGTCTCCTGAGCCCCATGATATCACCTTTGAATGTAACACTCACTGCAGGCTGAATTATGAGGTATCATAAAGCTCGGCGCTTTCAAGCATAGTTCCTCTTTTGTGACAATAGCTGTCAGTGCATCAGCACAAAAACAGATCAATCTTTGTCGTCTTTAGATAAGCAGTGAGACCTCTCTGCTTATTTTCTCCTCATCCTCATAAAAGTCACTCCCCTGCTCGTCGTGCGAGGCACATTATTTTCCTCTGTATTCATGATACTCGTGAGCCTGAGAAGTAATTTGAAATCAAACATGTGAGGGGAGCTGCACAGCCAAGGCAGCAGCCTCTCAGGGGAGGCATGCCGTCGGCTGCATGACCTCCTGTGTTTTGTGTGTCTCTGCAGTGTGTTGGTTTAGTCGGGAATCTGAATGGAAGCTCTAAATCCCAGTTAATCTGTCAGAGTGCTGGGAGAGCTGGGCACTCCACAGCCACGCTATCTGGTCATCAGCTCTGTACTGGTCTACTGCCGGCTGCCCTGCTGAGACACAAACATCCTGTTTAGAGAGTGAGTGGGAGAAAGACGTAGAAAGAGACGGAGCAGCATAAAGTGCCAGTAAGTGAATAATAAAGGGTACTGACCTGAAGATAAACAGAAAAAGACTTTTAGGGACAATGTTCTAGCCACAGAAGAGCCCTTTCCTCCAGAGGTTACTCATGAGTACTCAACTATCTTTCTCACAGTGGGAAAAAAATAAGTCGAAGACAGAAACATGCAGTGAGTCATATTAGCATGCATGCAGAAACCTGAGAGTAAACAAGGGCAGCCAGCAGACTGAAAATTAGCCTAATTATGACTCCTCTGTACTGGGAGGAATCTCCCTTATCCAATGTGAATCACACAGGCCCAGATTCATAGAGTATAGAGCTAATACTGTCAAAACATGCCATAATAACCACCTGAATGGCCTCTCTGTTTGACTTTTTGTACCTGTGCATGACCGAAGCAGGTTGTTGACAGCAGGAGGAAATGTTTGTTGCCATGCTGAAGTTTTCGATTCCTGGATCAACCCATGCACAGGACTGCATTGCCCCCTGGTGGAATGGCAGTTATGGAGCAACAACACAGGCTTCAAATAGAGGGACAGAATAATGTGAAATATAGTTTTTTTTTTTTTTTTTTTTTTGGATACTTTAAAAATGATTATTTCCACTCAAATTCTATGACTTTTGCGGGCCACTCAAGGAGCTTTACACAACATTATAGCATTCACTTTTACACATAGACTCATGTATTTTTTCAGTGTATTGAAACGTTACTGTTCAACACATCATTCAAACACTGTCATGCACTGATACTGTGCCCCCAAGAGCTACTTTGAGGTTCAGTATCTTGCGTACAGACACTCGGACATGGACACCAGAGGAGCTGCAGAAGGGTTAACCCTCTCTACCTCTGAATCACAGCCACCCTGAATCTGGATCTTGTTCAATAGAACTAATCCTGTATAAATTAATGTGTATTATATAACTTCCTGATGACTGGTGGTTTAAAAAAACATGTGCCTCAGTGTGACATTCAAAACACACATGTGCACTGACTGACTGCCTGTCTAATGACTGACTGTTTCTTACCACTGAATGGAACAAAATCACGACACTATCACCTTAAACAACAGGTTTAAATATCAGTGAATGTTCTCATTCGGTTTAGAGTATCACTCGGTCATCATAGGGTTTTTAGCTGTTCGGTCTAGGTCTCCTGATGACCATGTGCTCTGTGATTTACCGCTAACCGGTCAGCACAGAAGATTCATGGGTATTCCCAGGAAGTTAGACAGGAATGAGGAAATAGCTCCTTCCTTCTTTTCTTTTTCAATTAAATGGTAAAAAGGGAACTATGTGTTTCATAATTGTTTGAACAAACAAGGTAAAGGGCTGAATTGTGAATAAAGGGAATACAAAAGCACCCTGCACATCCTCTATTACAATTGTTATGTGTAAAACATTATGTAACATTTGACAAGGACATGATGACATTACATTTGTTTAATGTTGTAGTTTTGTTTTTTGATCAAGTCTACATGTCTTTCTTGATTATTATTGAAAGTAAGATATTTTTTCTAACTTTTTTTCTTTTTTTTTGTGCCCAGAATTACCTTAAACTAATGTTAATTCACATCCATGTCCATTAACATTTTCTTTTGTTAAAAAGGACTTGACATAATCATGTAACACTCAGTCATATGAAGTGTCATGTGTTGCACACTGCTTTGTGGCATCATCCCACCCCTCATGTGGGATATCAGGTTGTGGTGGACTTTTTGTGACAGCACCGTGGTTGCCAAGTTGGCCTTTACATGAGAGACCAAAGATCAGCCATAGGTGAATCCTGGAAAAAAGTCAACCCTTGGTCCAATTGACCCACTGTGGGAGACTCTTTAATGCAAGCAAATATGTGAACAGGAAATAAGTCCTTATTTGCATGTTGGTAGAGTGATCACTGTTCACACACAATCACACATGCTGCCTAGACCATGCATCACCACCATCATCACATGCCAGCACCTACTCTTCATCTGATTTTTTTTTTTTAACATCACATGTATTGCATTTCCAAGTGTGTCCTGGAAACTTGGTGTGGGCTGAGACCTGTCATTACCTGAGGTAATGAAGCATACCTCAGGACATACAGGGCATGCCACACTTTATGTGTCCTGATGAAAGGGATGGAAATGCAAAACAAGGAGAAAGGATGGGGTCACACCTCTGAGGAGGAATTAAAGGTTGAAAAACACTTAACTGCTCAAGAATCGTGACATTTGGATCCTTAGCAACCACTTAAGTGTTATAGCTCACTGTTCAGGGCTTTGATTCCCATGACGCACTGCGAATTTCTTCTTATTATAGCCACTTATAACATGTACATTCTGCACCTTGTTAACTAACCCCTTCACTGTATCAATTCAACATTAAATAGTAATCCCATCTCCCATTGCAGTATGGTTGTGTTTGTCTGGTCACCAGCTCTAATGGGAAGGTAAGCTTGTGTGTCATTGCTGCAGAAATGAAAGTTTGGGGTTATATCTCTCAGGGGTGACATGTATTAATGTAGCATTAATTTTATCTATTGTAGTAGCTGGTCTGTCGGCGATGTGTAGATGCAGAAGGAGGCTTCGTGACACTGGCTTGCTTGTATAACAGGAGTTTATTATAAAGACAACACCAGTATCAATACAGCACTGCAGTTGCTGGGAGAGGACTGCTAATGATGTCCAGCTCTCTCAAACCTGAGTTTGTGACCCTGTTATATACGGTCAAGGATGTAAGTCCTCCTAGATTCACGTTGTCCCCAAGCTATCTTTCATTACCATCTAGTTTTTATTTATCCTACAATTGTGACCTGTGTCCTGTGACCTGCAAATGTGCAACTTCCAAGATATCCCGACCCAGGTACCATTAAAGAGACACAAGAAAAACACAAGCCCACATTCCACAATTGGTTCTCAGGCGATTCCTGAGAAATACCTTAAGGCAATGCATATTGATGTAGTACTCCAGATACCACACTATAATCTTAGATAATAATTGGAGTTTTTAAAAAGGTCTTCAATTTAAAAATGTGGTATGACCTTTTTTTTATCAGTAGTGGTTCAACCAGAGCAGTTTATGACAGACATGAGGAGGTCTTTACAATGGATAGAATGAAAGGACTGATGGTGCACATGGTCTGTAGGGGTCTTGTAGGGACCACATCCAAGAGTAAGACTCCCTACTTCAGATGAAATCATTGAGCTCAGGTAGGGGCACTAAAGTAAAGGAGCTGAGGGACAGAACACGCGGCGGTCTTGACTTAGAGACTCAGGTACGGGTGAATTAAGAGGATGGGTGTTTCTGATCTGGGATCTGATTTTCTGACTTTGACAAATAGAGAATATTTTCAGTTCTTCAGAGAGTTCAGGTGTTTTTAGAGGGAGAACAGACAAGCTGATTCAGGGGTTTGATCAAAGATTTTGGTTTGGGCTGTTTCAAGTGATCAGACTAGAAAAGGGATTTACCTGAGCACCATTAGTTGTAGTGCAACTACAAAAGAAGTAATCAGAGTTTGCATTTAGGTTTATAGACATACCTAAATAAATCGTGTTATAAAATTTCTTAAAATTTGGATATTGCAACTCAACAATTTCTCACATTTGCAGTTTCCTCGTTTAGAGATCAGAGAATCATACAATTATTATGATTATCAAATAAATCTGTTCACATCTTGCAAAGTGAACATTGTATCAAGCTCTATGTAAGCCTCTTGACCTTTTCTTTGGTTCTCCATTTTTGTAGCAGGTGGTTTACCGCTATGCAAAATATACTAAAACAGATATGTGGGCTGTGACATAGACTCCAACACTTATAGCTTCATTATGCTGATGTGGAGCACAAAGTACACAACACCAACAAGGTCTCACTAAAAACATTCAGTCGCTCCTTTTGTTAAGGCTCTTCCTATTCACACAAAACACACACACATTGTGACAGACTCCCTGATAAAACATGGGACACAATGAGGTGTCCTTGTTTGTGGACACTACTGAAATCTTTTCACTTGAAGGGTCGTAAAGAGAGCAGAGGTCTCTTTATGAGGGAGGACACGCCTGTTGATGAATACCTCATATACTGACCTCATCTGGCCAACACCATGACCTCTCTTACGATCACAACTTCTGTACAGCAATATGTGAGATATACGCAATACTTAGACTTAGAACTCAAACTGCTAACTTGCTGTGGGTATATGTCCAGCTACATGCATGACGTTTCTTTTAAATAAATGTCAATGTTTGTCTTGCTGTGTCTGCACTATTTGTTTACAGGTCAGTGACTTTTTGTTTACCACTGAAACAACCATGTGACTTCCAGTAGGTTTAATTCTATAGTTGTGTAAAGTAAACCCAGCTATCCTATACTGTTGAACTCCTTATTGTGCACTACAGCAAAGAACTGAGAACAACAGTTCTTTAAAAACCCTCACTCAAAAAATGACAGCAATTCAGAGCAGCTTCCAGAGCGACCTCTCTGATCAAAACACAAACATACTACACACCTGTAAAATGTATTTGTACAAAAATGGGCCAAACCTGACACAATTAGAAAATCCAGAGCATGCAGTCACCCTCCACACAACAATGTACTTTGTTTTGTTTTCTATGTGAGCTTCAGCCTTTTGTTGAACACAAACCTTTTGACACATACTAACTGAGGTGATGTTGGTGACCAGAAAACATGACACTGAAACTACAATGGATAACAAGAGCACAATTCTGTACTATAGGACAGACTTAAAAGCCTGTATTTACCTATGTCCCATATGAACATGATACACATGTAAGGATGTATTTGTCTTCCTCTCGATTGAGATGCAGGCCAACAATATACATTATGACCAGAGTTACCTCTTTTTTGCTGCTGCCCGTCTTTTAACTAACACTAACACACGTGAGCACATCACTCCTGTCCTTAGCTCCCTTCAATGGCTTCCCGTCTCTTTTAGGATTGATTTTAAACTTTAAATGTTTGTTTTTAAAGCTCTTCACGGCTTTGCCCCCATCCATTTAACTGAGCTTTTAACAGTTCAGGAGCCGGGTAGAGCTCTGGGTTTGTCAAACTAACTTCTGCTGGAGGTGTCCAGGTCAAAACACAAGGACTGGAGTAAACGGGCCTTTTCAGTTGCTTGTCCCAGGCTCTGGAAGAAGCTCCCCACCGAAATGAGACTTATTTCTGACCTGGGCCTTTTTAAATCTCGATTGAAAACATACTTATTTATGCTGGCCTTTAATACCCAGTAGCGTGGTGACACTTTATTTTATTGCATTATATATATATATCTTTTTTATTGCTTTTATTGTTTATATTGCTTTTTATTGTTTTTATTTATTCATTTTTATTTTCTATTGTAAAGCAATTAGGTTCACCAAAAGGGTTGTTGTAAAGGGCTGTATAAATAAAGAACATTTACATTTGCATTTTTGATTTATCAACTAATCAGGAAAGGTTGCACATTTAGATTTTTTGACAGGTTAAATCAATCAGTCTTTGTTTATATTGCACTTTTCATACATAACATGTAGCACAAAGTGCTTCACGCAGAAAAAGGAATAAAAGAAACAAAGACTACCCAAATTAACCCCAACCCAGGATTAAAAGAATACCCAAATCTACACCAGCCCAACCCCTCATTCCCACCCCATGATCTAATTGCAACAGAAACAGTATTAAAATGCATAAACTTAAAATAGGCTTGATTTCATGGAAACAGGAATGTGCGCACTGAGGAAACGTCATTTTAAAACTCAAGATAAGGAAATACTGGAGGTTTATGTTAAAATCTAAAAACAAAGAAACAAAGAATGAAAATTAAGAAATGATAAAATACTAAAATAAGAGCAGCAAAATAGCTCAATAATAGACGATCCTGTGATTAAAACTAGAATAGATAAATGCTTAAACACTTAAACAGAGTTAATGATATAAGATTTAGTTAAAAGCAAGACTAAAAAGGCATGTTTTTAATGTGCTCAACTTAAACATAGGGGCCCTGATATTTTAAGTTGTGTTTTTTTCTCCATATACCCACAAGTTTTATCAGATACATTTAACTTAAATTTGGCCTTAATTCTCTCTCCAAATGAGACAAATTGACCAACTCATCATATGATCAGTGTTTGTTGTGGTTATGCAGTGTCACGTGTGGTCATCATACAGTTACTTTGTCTCTCGTGTCTCTGTAGATCTGGAGGCAGTGATTGGTTGAGGACAGAGTCTTACATCTTTATCTGCTCCGACTGAGCTCTGTACCCTCCCCACTTCATAAACAGCACAATCCTATAGTACAAGTTGCAGAATGACTCATTTAGGTTTCCTTTCAATTTAGTGACAGGTTATTAATAAAACACCCCCGATTATAAAACCGAATGTAGCAGGCTATACATGTTTAACTTGGGTTTATTTTGCATAGGCCAACTTTAAGTCTGCTACATCATTATTTTAATGAATGAATATTATGACAGTCGAGTTTAGGAGTTCATATTAAAAGTGAGGTGGCTAACTTTTTTAAAAAAGGAAAAAGATTAAAAAACACCCGCTGTAAAGCTTTATGAAAGAGGGTAAAACATTTGTAAGAAGTCAGTTTTTACTTTACTCATGAGTAGCACAGTCGCTGTTGCTGAATCGTTGCGGCAATAAACGGAGCTGTGCAGAGAAGCAGACCTACAACATCCGGGCAATAGTCAGCTTGCGCAGAAACGGAATGGCGGAGGTAAGTGAGCGAAAACGAGGGCTGTAATGAGCCGAATGATAGAGAAACTGGACCGTATTTAAGACTTGTGTCAGTCCTTTTCGTACTTGTGAGTGTCGATGGTTTCGCTGGCTGTTAAACGCCGCCTGAAAGAGCTCTGCGACGGGAGCATTTTAACCGGGAAGCGGGGGGAGAAATGGAGAATCTCTTCAGCGTATCGCCTCTCTCTCTCTCCGCGTTCTTGGCTTTAAAGAGCCATTCCCTCTGCCGTGATAGTAAAGCCGGGGAGACAATAGGGAGCCCGGCGGGGTTAAACACGGTGGTGCTGAACTATTTCAGGTGTGTGGAAAGTGTAACGTGTGAAAAAAGTTCGAGGAGATGTCATGACTCGGCCGCGGTAAACTCTTTCGGAAATATTGAGAACTAGTTATTTCCTTCTTGCCACTCGTGGAGAGCCGAAGAGAGGAAGAGACGTTCAGCACCAAGTCACAGGAAAGCGCCCCTGGTCAGTCAGACAGCGCCCGTTGGGTTGGGAGAGGCACGTTGCATCGACATTGAGGCTTCCACCTAACTTTTATAACTTCTTCACCCTGTAGTACTATCGTCAGAGCCGTGGGGTGATTCAATGAGGGGTGGCACTCGGTGTGAACATGGTTGGGTTTGTAACTTCTCCTTCCAGCATGTCCTGTATGCTGCTATCCAAACTTTTTTCACCTCTGTAGCCTACTATGCGGCCTCAACTTCCATGAACGCCACACTTTGTCATTAACCTCCCACTCTCAAACTTAATTTAAAAGGCGAGCTGACACAGGAGAAAACTATTCTGTCCACGGTGTGAAACTTGTTTTTAGTTCTGTTTTGAGATCAAGATATCATATCACAACAATACCTAAGAAGCTGTGTTCTTGTTTTTGTGGAGTCAGAAAATCTAATACAGGAAGGTTATATGCTGGTTACAAAGAAGTGATACAGACAATGAAGACATGACCTTTAAAGTGACACATTTGTCCCCACAGTAGTGTCCTGAGTCAAAAAGAGTGTAATGGAGTGGTTTCAAAGTCAGGAGTCAGCTGATGTGTAATGGGATGAGCCAGGATCAGCCACTATCTGATCCCTCATGTTGTGTGTGTGCACGTGCGTCACAGATGCACAGAGGAATGAGCTCCCATTGTAATATACCCTCTTTCTGTTTTGACTTTACATGAACATGTGTCTGTGTTTCTGCAGGTGGGTAAAGAGCCCCTGAAGATAAGTGTGGAGGTTGTGGCTTAGAGGAGAACGGATGAGGAAGAGAAATGAAGGCCCTCCACAGGAGAAGCAGAAGTCCCAACAGGCCTTTGTGAAGTTGGAGGTGAACTTTCACCCCATGAAGATGGCAACGCAGTCCCACACTGTACGCTCAAGTTCAGCCGTGTCTGCAGACATAAAAGTTAGTTGCCGCGTGGATTCATTTGTTTCTTAAGCAGAATTTGAATATGGTATCTTAACTACTCTGATGCACCCAGAGTAGTCTTATTGGAAGTGAAAACTATTTCTGCTTTTGCATGAGACATTAACAGCATGTTTTTTTAAAAGTCAGTTCAACATCATTATTACCCTGTGTACCTTAATGCAGAAAAAATATTCAAATGAATTGCTAATATAATTATTTTTCTGGAATTACAGACAGAAAACATCTTTTTCATAAGACTAGTCTAAAATAGGTGCTGCATTTACACGCTTCTGAGATACTGACCTTGGGTGGTGAGATATCCAGAGTTTTGAGGTGGTTCTCTCAGCAACAATAACTGCTTGAGATTCTGTAAAACTATCAGATTATAATGTATTTTTTTAATTTAAACTTTAATTCATTTCATTTTCATTACATGTAAAATGTTATACTCAGAGTTTGGCTTTTGGCTTGTTAAAATCAGGAATCCAGTATCTCAAATAGCTTGAATATTTTCTATGATCAATCCGACAAAGAGTTTAAATACAAAAATGTGTAACTTTATTTTAAAAATCAGTACTTCTTTGCTTATTACCGCAGTAGCATGGCATGGAGCTGGCACTGCTGAGGTGTTACTGAAGCCCAGGTTGATCAAATGTTGGCTCTCAGCTCGTCTGTGTCTGAGGGTCAGGTGTTTCTCATCTTCCTCTTGACAATACCCCACAGAGTCTGTCTGGTCAAGCCAGTTTGCTGGTCCAACAAGCACATTAATATCATGTTGACATATCTATTTGGTAGGAGTTCTGGCTCTAAAGGAAGGTGCTTAGTCCTGTTTTAGAAGGAGTTCAGAACCTTCATAATGCTTGTCATGTAAGCATGAAGAACTCCAAAACCACCCGGTAGAAGTGTTTACTCTGACTTGATAAAACACAGTGTACCACAAATCACCATAGAGTGTGGAAACTTCATCTGGTCTTAAGATGTATGATGAATGCGACAATTGTAGTCCTTTCTTGAAGAAATCTGTGCTTTGGGTGGTTCTTGATGCGCAGACACCAGCCCTTGTCTTGAAGCTCAGTTTTTTCATCAGTTTTCCCGAGACTGTGGTCGCCCCTGGTGCTTGTTGACCTTTTCAACACTTCTATTTCCTCTCATTCAAGTTTCCATTGAAGTACTTCAAGATAACTCTGAACAGCCAGAATTTTTAGCAATGACTTTCTGTGCTTTACCCTCCTTTTAGAGGGTGCTGGTGGTGATGGTCTTTGTGACAACTGTCAAGCAGTCTTACCAGCCATTGTGGTTTATTGTATTGAAACTAAATGATAATGTTTTTAGATGATTTTGTTCAAGTTAGCAATAGATTATGCAAATTGTTCCAGGCATCCTCTCCCCAGCAGCGCTTCTCCGTCAAGGGGATTCTGGGCATTCCCATGCCAAATATGATATTTAATCTTTTCAGTGAGTTTTAGTATGCCCTGGAGTCTCCTCCCAGTTGGATGTGCCCATAGGAAACCCCCAAAGAGAGGCACCCAAGAGGCATCTTTATCAGATGCATGAAACATTACAACCGGTGTCTTTTAATAGGAATTAGTGTTTCTAACATGAGCTCTCATCTGGATGTCAGAGCTCAGGGTATTATCCCTAAAGCTGAGCACCATCACTGTTTGGAGGTAACTCATTTCAGCTGCCTGTATCTGCAGTCTCATTCTTTCACTCACTACCTACAGCTCATGAAGGTAGGTGAGGGGTGGAACATTAATCAGTAAATTGAAGGCTTTACCTTCAGACTCGGGTTCCTCCCCACCACAACAGTCCGGTGCAATACCGGCATTACTGCTGAGACTGTACTGACATGTCTGTCGAAGTCACAATTCAACTCCCACCTCCAAAAAAACTTTGTGGGCATCCCAGGAAAGATGAGAGTCTGTTTAAAGCCTCCATTGTGGAAGCTGCTGCCAGGAGTTGTTACCAGAAGACCATCAGGACCAGTCAAGGCAGCAAGTTTCATGTCTACTGGTAGACACCAATGATAAAGGAAGCTGTCAGGCTGCAGCAGGCCTTAAGGGCTTGATTTGTCCAGGGGTTTCCAGAAGCAGCAGAGAGATACCAAGTGGCATAGGGCGCCTTTGGTATCTCCAGAGACAATAACTCGAGTGTTTGAGGAGTGTGTGGAGGCTATGGAGAAGGTCTCTCAGTTGACATTAAGGGTGTTTTGGCAAACTGATTCAAGAGGGTGAAGCAGGACTTGGCTTAGTCTGTTCTCAGCAGGGGTGGAGAACTACTGATCTGGATCAGGGTAGTTGGGGTGTGGGAGGAACACTTTGAATCCAAATGACATGTCCTCAGAGACAGTGTTCAGAGATAAAGGGGAGACCTCTCTATATCTCTGGCAGAGGTCTTTGAGATAGATAAAAGCTCTACAGCGGCAAGATAAGAGATAGATGAGATCTGCCCCAAGATGCTGGAGGATCTTGACTTTGTTGGGTTATCTTGGTTGACTCATATCTTCCATGCCTTAGAGCAATACACACTAAGGTGGTGGTTCTCATTTTTAAAACAAAGGACCAGAGTGTGTGCTCAATACTCATCACACTACTCAGCTATGGAGTTATATTTCACTTTTTATTTTTTGAGCCCTGATGGAAAATGTTAAGCTTTTTCATGATACTGTGATTTTTTGAGCTGCAGCTTTACTGACAAACGAAAGGATAGAAAGCTCTGTGTCACAACCATTGGCTGTATATAGAATGGATATCCTCTGCCTCCTCGCTGGGTAAAGCCTCTGTGTGAACAGCACCCCCTGGTGACTGGTTGCAGTATAGGTCATAAATCCTGCCTCCTCCAGCAAAATGAATGGAGTTGTGGACAAACTATAGAAATTAGTTACACAGAATATAAAATTTTCTCTCCCCTGGTTGTGATGTTGACATGTTACTGTAAGACTGGTTTGTGCTCAAGTCCTCTTTTTTTCTGTACAGCTCTATTTTCAGAAGTTATTAGGGGGTTCATGTTTTCTATGATTGACACTTGATACAGCCTATGGGTGTACGAGGATTGCATTGAATATCTGTGGGATATGCTGTTAGAACAGAGCGTCATCACAGCGACTCTCCCGCCAAATGCTACTGTGCAAATGCCTGTTTCAGGAAATGGAGAAAATCCCCAAAATACTAAGAGCAAATTAGCTTCAAATTCCTACAATGACGGGAGGCGGAGCCAAGTTGTCCATACAATATACAGTCTATGGTCACAACATCTACTGTAGTAATATCCCTGTTGATAGATGCTGGACTTAAACAAAAAGGCACAGAGTACAACACTGTTTTTGGTTTTATATTCCTTTCTGTCTGAATTTTGTGAACTACTTTTTTCAGTGCCATACATAAATATATATGTTAGTATGTAGGTGAGGTGATATGTAAATTAAACGCTCATATCAGAGGCTGCAGGTTCCAGATTTCACTTGTCCCAAATACAAAGTGAAGACGGATAGTTCTGTTTTATCTCAACAACTGAGAGTGTGTAAGTAACCCTATAATCTCCCTCTCCCTGTTGTTGCTGCCAACCTCTTCGTCTTTGTAGGCCAGTGAGCTTCCACTAGAGGAGCTGCTGGCTCTGTACGGCTACACGGTGTCAGATCCAGAGAAGGAGACCTGTCACATGGCTGCCAGCCTGCCAGGCATGACACTGGACAAGGTAGGAGAAAGAACCAAATATGTCTGTTTTAGTTCAATTTTGTTTTATTTACTTTATTGTTCTGAAGGTTTTAATATTTTGCAGGATCTCTTTCCCGCGGAGGAAGAAGAAGAATCGTCAGCTGATGATCTAACCCCATCGGTCACGTCAAACACGTCAGATCTGCTCCAACGCCTCCAATGTAAACACAAAAAAACACATGAAAACACTGACATAGAACTGATTCAGTCATTTGGTATTAAGTCCAGCAAAACAAAATGTAGATTTGCACAGTCTGGCTCTATCTGGACATTCCTGGAGACTTTGCTGATGGTGAAATTCATTTCATTGTTCAATTTAAACCACTGCTGCTGACATTTCAAAAACTTAAAAGGTGAAAGACTTCAGTGTCAGAAAAGTAAATGAAAGATTCTTTGTTATTCTCAGGTTCTTCCTGTGTGACTTGATTTACTCTCTCCCTGTAGCTTTCTGTAACATGTCACAGACACTCAAGTATATCTACACTCAGGGAGTTCCTATTTAATCAAACAACATTCTCATGCTTTTCAGTCTCTTTGAACTCAGCCACAGTATCTGTATTGAATCCACAAAATAACATAAAATTGAACATGTGGCACATTTGCTGCTTTGTAAATGTTATAAAGTATAGACTGATGAACTGAGCATTTTTTAACAGTTGAAAAGAAGAAGAGCCTTTCTTTCATTTTTTGCTGAGCCTTTCCTTGGCTTTTATTTTTTCTATTTCATTTTTATGCTGCACCACTGATGGTTGTGACTAGAGGCATGTTTCTGTTTTTCCCATGTGTAATTAGACTGAAGGATTTTGGTGGTGAAAAGTCAAGTCCAGCATGACCCATTCCCATAAATTAGATGTTTTAGAATAGGTTTTTAATTTTACAGCAGGAACTTTGTCCACATGTTTAAAGGATGAAGTTATTTCACAGTTTTTATCAAAGTTCAAGGTTGCTGTTACCTCACTAAATATATTTTGGCTTTAACTCAAGAGTTGATGAAAAAATTCACACATTTATGAATGAGGCAGAATATTGGTCTTGGTTTTGGAAACACCCTGAAGGAAATCATTCAAAACAAGCTCAAATACCTTCTTAGAAATTAGTTAATTTGGTAGTATAAGGTCCCCTTCATTTGTTGATTTGTACATTTTTACTCTTAAACAAATATACTGTTTCTTAATCTCTGCTAATCATGTCTGTTTAGTCTATTATAAGGCTAAACAGACATGGATGTGAAGTGCACTCTGGCTGGCTTTCAGAGCCATAAACTGTCACTTTTACTTTATCCATCATGTCCCTTTATTATCTATCATAATATTTGTTGCTGTCTGGTGGTTATTTTCTTGAAAATCCCATATTTTGATCATTTTTAGAATTCACTTATTAGATCATGGTTGATGAAAATCAAATGACAGAAAAACAAGGTCTCGTTTTTGAAAGAGTAGCTGTGATCTGTCAGCAGACGTGATTGCAAAACAGCGTCAAAGAGATTCAACAAAGCTTTTTTGTTCATGCAGCCCTTGTAAAGTTTTGAAATTGTTGTCTGAACCTTTTCTCTGATGTTTTGTCTCACAGGTGGCGATAAAGACACATTGGCCAGTTCATCAGATGAAGACTCTGATGATGTCGCAATTCCCTCCAATGAAGAGCACAAGGTTTGTCACTGAGGACAAAATCACTCACCTGTTGATCACTGGAAGTTTTTGAAAAAAGACACACAACTTTCCTTTGACTCGTAGTAAAAGTCATAAGAAGAGTGTATGTTTAGCTGCAGTTTTGTTGTTTATCAGGAGAGAAAATCACAAACAGCATCTTCCAAAATGCAATCAGGCTAAGTCTTTGTTTACATGATGGTTTGCACTATCATAAAACGCAGCTGCCTCGCACCACACTTCTTGCTGCAGTGGTATCTGAACTTTGAGAGGGAATTAATAACTTTGAAATCATTCTCTGATGAAACACTAAAATTACAACCAAGGAAAGGACTTTGCAAATCGCAAAACCTTAGATTTAATTGAGAATAGTGCACAAACAACATATCAGATGTTAAAACTGGAAAATGTTATTGCTTTATGAAAAGTAGATGGTCTTTAAAATTACATGCCAAGATTGTGTTTTAGGAAGGTGGAGACGGATATTTTTACCTCATCTTTGTGCCGCTAACATCAGCACATTTTAACTCAGTGTTTGACTTGATGTCTTGGCACTATTTCACTCTCAAAATGGGATTTAAATGATTCAAAAACCGTGAAAAAAAATGCTCCCAATTTTTTGAAGTTGGGGTCGTTGTGCATTGGACCTCAGCTGTGGTTGTGGTCAAGTCCTTGAGTATTTGAGAACACTTCTGTACAGCACAGATTTTAGATGTTTGGTTATGTTGGATGCATTTCTGGATACCAACACACTCCTGATTTCCCCTTTTAGGAGATCATGGTGGGCTCGATGTATCAGGCAAAAATCCCTCCACTCTGTCCGTATACCTGTCAAGAGAGAGGTAAGCAGCTGAAGAGTTCACTCATCACTTTGGATGGAAAGAAGTGTATCTGATGTTTCATTCATATCAAGTCAAGGATGTTGTGTGCGCTTGACGTGAAATCTCATCTCTTTGTCGTCTTCACGTCCACTTTTCCTCTTTTTTCCTCTTCTTCCGATAACTCATTGAATCTGCTGCCTCGCTCTCTCCACATCTCTTAACTCTCGATATGTCTTTGTTTTTCTAGCCCACAGCAGTGAGGATCAATTGCTGTGGAAGCCAGGTGTTCTTCCCGTGCAAGACGTGGAGGAGTTCTTGATGTGTGCACAGAGACTGCGCGGCCAGGAGGGGGCGTCCTACTTACGGACACATGGAGACACTGTCCAAGACAACGAACAGGTAGACTCGCTCACAAATTGAATAACAGAGATGCTGCAGGCATTTTTTTAATGAGAGGAGACAAATCTAACCCACTCCCTTCCTTTGGTTCTCAGGCTTTGTATGAGCTGGTGAAATGCAACTTCAATGCAGAGGAGGCATTGAGGCGGTTAAACTTCAATGTGAAAGTTTTTAGCGGTAAGAAACATCCTGTTATACTTTTCTTGTCCTCTAGAACTCAAAACTGTAAAAAGACAGAATATGTGTCTAATAATTATATTATAGAGAATTATATCCAACCTGTTTTCAGTTAAAGTAAATTTTGCATCATTTTTTGAGTCTCCTCTCACAGCTGTGGGAAAACATCTCCTCTCTTGACTCCTGAGGTTTAAAATGAAAAACTGTAGAAGGAGGTTTTAGTCTTAATGAAAAAGCAGGACACAAGGTTGTCCAGTGTGGTAATGAAAACAACTTCCTCATAAAGACGCGTTTTCAAAGTTCACTTAAGTAGAGTTGCTCATCTTAGACCTGAACACACATCACCCACAGCTTTAGAGTTTGAGGTTAACCCTTTAGTTCAATAATCTGCAAGGTGTAGTGATCCCAGCCGTCAGAATCCATATTGGAGCCCTAAGAATCCATTTCTGCCTGAGGACACGACAAAGTATGATTTTTTTATTCAATACCATGACAGTACAACACCAACTCAGGAGAAGAAGAGGAGGAGTTCACTGAGCTGACCTCCTGACCACCTGTTCAGCCATGAGGCTTCAGTCTGAATCCAAGATCTTTGTTTGGATTTGGGAGGAAGAATAAATGCCCACTGCCATGTCAGAGAGCCTTTCTCCACATCCCCTCTGACTTTCTCTCGAGCTGACTTAATCAATACAGAATATAGATCCAATGTTGAACTCTAGTGGCACTGCCTTTAGCCGAAAACATAGAGGATCCGTACTGAGTGCGTTCCGTATTTGAGCAGCATTGAGTGTCGCATACAGGACGTGTATTTGGAGCGTTGGCAGCAGCGTAGTGCAGCCCCGGTCAGCTGGGCTCAGTATATAGAGAACAAAATGCTCACAACAGGTTGTTTTGCCTTTCTGTGGTCTATTTTCTGCTAATTTGGACATAATTCAGTGACCGTTGAGCCTCTACTATTTGTGAAAAAGCAACGTGATTCTACAGTTTTGGTTTTTGCAGGTTTACTCGTGTTTAATAAAGTAAACTATGTTCCTTTATGCTGTTACCTTCAGACAGAGTTAGCAGTTAAAAGTCCTGTTGGAGTCCACATGGATCAGGGATTGACCATCGGATTGTTCTGTGTTACTGATAAATCCATAACCAGGATGTTTTTCTCATTTACACAAACTGATACACAGTCAGGAGTTCGCATATGTTGTTTTATTTTGAAATACCAGATGACATGCACAGTTTTCATGCTTGACTTCCTGTCTGGGATGATCTTCTTTGTGTGGATTGATGCGCAATGGAAGCATAGAGCAGCAAAATAGACTCGCTGCGTATCTTTTGCAAAACCGTGGTAACTTCACAGGATTTAATAACTTCAAGTGAAATCTGATGATTCTTTTGTTTCTCCAGAAGAGCTTTGTGCCTGGAGTGAGGAGGAGTGTAGGAACTTTGAGCAGGGTTATCGAGTTTACGGGAAAAACTTCCACCTCATTCAGGCTAACAAGGTGAGTTCTCATGATGAACCTGAACAGTGTCTGAACCAAGCTTCCTGCTCAAAACAAAAACAGTGTTCATTTTTTGTATCTTCCTCAGGTACGAACGCGCTCAGTTGGGGAGTGTGTGGAGTATTACTACATGTGGAAGAAGTCTGACCGCCATGAGTACTTTACCCAACAGGCCACCAGGCTCAGCCGCAGGAAGTACAACCTTCAATCAGGGAGCATGTGAGTATTTACAAGGATATGAATGACGAATGACATTCAAGCCAAGATTTATGCTAAATGAGTGGGATGAACAAAAGATCCATTATTTTACTGCAAACAGCTGCTCTCTGTGATGTGCGGCCCAGCCTCAACTCTTTGTACAATTTCAATCTGAAATGACATCCTGGTTACTCACTCACTTTCAATGCCTGCTATGCTGCACTAACAGCGGCCGTGCTGTGTTTTGCAGGGAGGATGGAGAACAGGATAGGGAAGTTGGAGAGCATGAAGGCAGCAACAGTTCCTCAGGCTTGTTGTCTCACAGCTCTACCAGGCAGCTCGAATCCCCGTCACCTCCACAGTCAAACCTGGATACAGACAAACAAGGTAACATTTAGAGGTTGGCAATTGATTTCAATGATAAAAGGCAGTACTATAGTGTAATACATTTGTTATCTCACAGATGGGCTGAATAGATAATGAGTCAAGGGTCACAGCGTTATCAATACTATGTGATTTGATAAATGGGGTATATGTTGAAACAATCCCAAACACAGCATGTCTGAAGTTTTCACAGTGGTTCCTAAAAATACGGAAATCAAGGGCTGTGTTTCTTCACCCATCTTTTTGTATTTGAACCATAAACATACAATGTCAGACACATTTTTAAAATGACATTACTCTGTGTATTTTTGTTTTTGTCAGTTGAATACGGTGGCCGGGAAGTGTCAGACGATTTGCATATTCAAACGAAAAAAAACACGAATGCAAACAGCCACAACACGAACCTAAATAATGACACCGGAAGTAATCTTGCAGCAGAATCAGAAATGGGCAAACTACCACCAGGGTTTCTGACAGACTATTATTACTGATGGACACGTTGTAAATGGAAGGTCTGGAGAGTTGGAAAAATTAAGTTATCTAAAGTTTGCTTGCAGGTTTCCTCTTTGATAAATATCATTTTGCGATCATCTCAGTAAGCAATGGAAATTTGCGAGTGAACATTAGTTTACTTACTTTTTCAAATGCTCCAGATTCTCTCCATACACAGTGGCCTTTATTTATCAATCTTGCGTAGAACTGAGCGCAGGATTCATCATACGATAGGACACGTGAGATTTATGAAAGGTTTGTATCTGACCAATCCCAGCATACGTATGACCGGGTCTTGATAAATGCAGTGGCTAAAATCGATCGTCGTTAACATGTTTACACCCTTAAATATTCGTGGTTCAGGAGCCTCGCCCACTGAGGTCAAACATGAAAGAGGAGAAATATTAGAAAGATTCCAAGCTTTTCTGAGCTGAAAGTGGATATCCTCACATCTGTGGTGGAAACTAACGAGGATTTTCTCTTTGGAAGCATCAAAACTGTAAAATCAGTATAAAAGCAGTCCAGAAAACTCCTGTCTGGAGCAGGAATAGTGAACAGTGGCTGAATTTTTAAATAAATCATTAGTCAATAAGTTGCTCATGATGATAAATTACTATCTCATACATGCCTCATATTTTTTTATTGTGTTGTAGCTGGTCTGTCCGCGATGTGTAGATGCAGAAGGAGGCTTCATGACACTGGCCTGCTTGTATAATAGGATTTTATTACAAAGACAACACCTCTGTCAAAACAGGGCTGCAGTTGCTGGGAGAGGACTGCCAATGATGTCCAGCTCTCCCAAACCTGAGTTTGTGATCTTGTGATATAGGGTTAGAGGTTTTAGGTCCTCCTACATCCTCTGTTTATCTTTAAGTTATATTCCTTTACAATCTGCTTTACGCCTATCTGACCTGTGACCTGCAAACCCCCAACAGTGAGGATATCTGGACCAGGTACCATAAAAGAGACCCAATTCCCACACTTCACCATTTGCTTATCTAAGGCTCTCCCTGGGAAATGCTTTAACATGTTGTATGTTGGTGCTGTACTCTAGATACCACAACTGCCATGACACAGGCTACGCTGCTCCTATTATTGAAAGTATTTAGTTTTAATTTGTTGCCTCTTTGTAATGTAGAGCAGACTGGAGAGTCTGACAGAGGCTGAACAAAAATAATTATTAATGTCACCAAACGGTGTGTTGCTGCTACTTAGACACATTTTTATGGAATTCTATTGGATTTTTATCACTAAATAAAGAGCAAGAGCACTTTCTAAACTTACACTTTACATGACAGAATCCATGGATACGGTCCTGTCTCCTCTGTACAGCACCATTGTGGAGTCTCTCCTCGTTATTATTCTCCGGGCATCAGGTCGTCACGTTGCACCTGCACAGCCAACGGCACTCCATTCACCAGAGCCACATTAGGCAAAACCGTACTGGCCCAAATGATGTCCCACACCCTTTCAGGAGTGTACAACAACGTCCCCGCTGCTGGACCAAGACAGATACATCTGCCTTTTAGGAGTCAAACGCAGCACTCCATATGTGCGTGTGTGTGCGCCATGTTAAAACGGCGCTCCTGCTCTGTGGCAGTGTTTCTGCGCAGAGTTATCAAATAGGCCTATTCACTAACAACATAACAATTTTATTTTATTGTATTTATTTCTAAATCTTTAATGAAATCTGTCTAAATGTGCGTAATGACAGGTTTGAGGTTTGTATATCAATTATTTTGAGACAGACATTTGCTGCACTGCAGATCCACACTGACTCAAACTTGCGTACATGATGTCAAACCTGTCGTGAAATTTGGTCGTAGCATACGCTCACGTGCACATGGATAGATGCCGATCCTCACGTCGCAACTTACGTACGCAAGCGAACATGAGTTTTCTGCCGTTTGCAAGCTTGATAAATGAGGGCCACTGTGTCTGTCAGTGATAATGGTCTGTCAGAAACGCTAGTGGTAGTTTGTCAATGTCTGATTCCACTGTAAGATGACTTTTTCAACGTCGTTATTTGCGTTCATGTTGTGGCTGTTTGCATTTGTGTTTTTGTTCTTTTGCAAAGTGTTTTGAATATGCAAATTGTCTGACACTTACAAGACACCGTAGTTGAAAGCCTTATTTTGATCACATGGTTTGACTTTCATTTTGACATTACATATTCATCATAAACCATATTTACATATGTCTCCCCTCCTTTGTTTCCCCTGCTACTTTCTTGCTTTTTGTGTGTCCTGTTGTGTTGGTGCATGGCTGTATGCATGTCTACGTCTCTGTGCTCTGTGCATGCACATCTGTGGACATGGTACTCCAGAGGAGGAGGGCCGTCCCCGGCGCAGACGGACTCCCCGCTTTCTATTAAAGCCATGAACTCGGTCCAGACAGGCCACAGATAGCAGGCTGGGCCTGCAGGTAAATAAGGCAAAAAGAAACACTTAAAAAGGGGGTTTGTGAATGATATGGTGATTGGGAACAAGTTGCTTTAACCTGACTGTTTTTGATATTAAGAGGTGGAAAGTAACTAATTACATTTACTGAAGTTAATACAATTTAGCAGCTTTATTGTGTACTTCTATTTTTTGAGTAGTTTCTAATATTTGCACTTTTACCTGAGCTTCTATATTTGACACTGTATCTGATACTACGTAAAACTACAAAGTCACTTGCTGGGAGAAAATCAAAGTAACTCAAACTCATCATGTAAGTGTACTTATACTGGAGTAGAATATTTTCATCCTCATTTCACCCTTGTCAAAACTTAAACTATAACTTGAATCCAATGATACCGGTATTAAAGCTATTGTATATGGCTGTGAAGCATCTTTTGGCCCATCAGTATGCGATCCAAATTACAAGTACTTCTCAAAAAATTGTTGTCCTGAAAAGAAAAATATTTTCCACCGTTTACAAAAAGATTTAAGTCTAACATAACCTCAATCACTGCGTATAAACATAATTTAGATCATTATGAAAAAAAAAACATAAAAAATTAAAAACATAGCTGAAAATATTAGATTATTTCTCATCAGGGTAAACTATAATACAGACAGTTTAGTATAAATACAGTGAATTTCTTGATCTGGTTCAGTACATCCAACCATAATCATAGGAAAAACTCCAGACATCACAATTGTCCAAAAAAAACGATTTAGCTTTTGGTTTCTTTCGTGAGCTATGAGCCACAATGAACTAATTCAAAAGAAAAAGGCTTGAACTATTCCACCTTACATGTAATGAAAATATTTACCTATTAAATCAAATTCAGGAAAAAAAGAAAAAACAAAAACTTTTTCATGACTTTTTGATTTTTTGAGATGTACCTAAATATTTAAAATAATGTCAGGTATGTTTATTTTTTATTTTTTTTTAAATTCTGTGTCCTTGTCCTTGACTCCCGCATGCATTTAAAATTAATTTGAGTAAACTGAATTTTTACCACAACATCCACCGGTTTATCAGTATTTTATATCAAACTGAAATCTGTTTTTGTGTCTCAAACTTTTGACCATAACTTGACTTTAAATTTGCTTTAACATAGCTAAGAAAAGTTGTTAGCATTTTTTAGCAGCTGTTATGATCATTATTAACTTGTACAGCACTCAAAGATCTACAGTGCAAAGCAACAAAACTCATGAGGTAATCACTGAATACACATGCTTGACAGTGGAGTAGACATATTCTCAAATTTGAAGGCAGTTTACTGAGCGAGAGAAAAATAATCTCCAACTTTTACCGAGTTAGGAGCAGCTTTGTTTTTTACCTCTTTATCTAAGGGACAACACAGACATCCTAAATTTAAAGTTCCTCTTAATAACACCTGTCATATGTTTAGATAATTTCTCAACATAAACTTTATTAGACCAAAAAAAAAGAGTTGTAATAGATTGGAGGACTGCAGCAGCAGATATTTAACCACGATGTGATCTTTCGTCCTCTTCTGCATTCGTCCAGATGGTGAGCTGGTGACAGGGCTGTCAGACCTGTGTGGGGACAGATGTCCACAGCAGCTGTTTGCCTGTCCCTTCTCTCTCCTGCCCATGGATGACCTGCAGGATCCTGGCTCAGGCACTTGTTGTCCCTCAGCTCCAGTACAGCTCCTGCTTCAGCCGTCCCCTCAGAGCTCCCTGTGGGCCTGCGGGAGTCCTCCGTCCTGCCACAACGATCCTCACCTCCCGGGCTCATGCTTCTACCAGCTGCACATGTGTGGCGGACCTTTTGTTGACGAGAGCCATGACTGTGGTGCGGCAGGAGATGGGACCGTCTCCCCCTGTGGGTTGCAGGTGGAGTTTAGCCTGCCGCCCGCCTCCCCACCCTCACCTGCTGTCCTCCCATCACACTTTCAGGCGTTTGGCAGCCTGCTGCACCCCTCTCCCGTCCAGCATCCTCGCTCTCTCACAAAGTGAAGGCTCATGGGGGAATTTAAACTGAGTGGTACTCTAAAAGTTTTCCCCTGAGTCAAGATTTTTGACAGTTAAGGACATGAAGTGCATTTACCAAACTCTGTGAAAAAGAATGGACCTACTACCTGCATCAGGGGGTCACATGTCTGCCTGAACCCTCTCCTTAAACGGAAACACTTGAACCCCTGTCTGTTGTTCACTGACGTGTTTAAATCTTTTACTTTCACCTGGTGATGATGTGTTTATGAACTGTTTTATTTCCACAACCTGCAGCAGAGCAGTGCGATGAATTTGCTGTAATTTAAACTTTGTTGTGGAAGCTGAGTGAATGCAGGTGATGGAAGCTACAGGAATCATGCAAACAAACCCAGAAGCAGCATGATTGTCTTCAACCAATAACAGTTGTAATTGCTGTTACTGTATTTTCTCTTTATTTATCAGGTTATTCAGAATAAAAAAATGCAGCTCAGATTTCTCCAAAGGTTTTCCACCGAGAGCCAATCGCTTGTTTCTTTATGTATGTTCTGCAGCTTCCAAGTTTTTGCTTGGAGACGCATCTATTGAAGTCACAACATGACTCGTTTGGGTGAAATGACAGAGTGAAACTTGCTTTTTAAACATTTTAGAATGGTTTATTTAAATATTAGCTTGAATGTTTCCATTAAGTCTATAGTTGTATCTACATTTTTCCCACTTTTTTTTTTTCTTTTTTTTTTGTTTGCACTTCCACCCTCTTTCACTCCACCTGTCTGGAAACATTTTGCATAAGTGTCAATCTTTTCTTGTAAATTTTGAGATTTTACAAAGTACATGTGTTTTCTACTGCTAAGACACAAACACGAAAAAAGAAAAAAAGAACATTTTTCCTTTTTTTTTTTTTGCCTCTGCCTCTGTGGAGTTGTTCTTCATTTGAAGATTTACACAGAGATTCATTAAGACGATGTGCTTTCTTTGTCCCCGTATCTTGTAAGTGATCTTTCATCTTGACTGGTTCGGTAAGAAACAGTTCAAGTTGCAGAAGAGGTATCCAATCAAAATGTTTAAATGTACAGTGTAAACAAAGTTAAATCACTGATTGCTAATTCAGCTTCCTGGATTCTGTAACCACAATGATCTGATAGTCTGTGAAATAGTCTGAGTCTGTCATTAATCCTCAGAACAGATAGAGGAGTGACCGTTTTAAGGCTATTGGATTAGAGCACAACTTTTTGATGATAGAGAACAAACATGAACAGATTACTCTGACATGAAATTCAACAATTCCAGCACAAAGTTTGTTTTGTTTTTTTTAAGTTTGTAGTGCTACACATCCAAACTGTATCATGGATTAAACAAAGATCTCTTTCCTCTGAAACGTTTCCTCCACTGACCTCTACTAAACAAAATGAGCTGTCTGTATAATCAAATGTAATCAACAGTGTAATACATGTACATGCATTAACATCTCTAATAATATATTTTATAGTGAAAATTTTATAATGAATTCTCATGTTTTTCTTACAGATATTCCAAAAATGTTGAGGCCCTATCTCATCCGCTGTAACTGTCAACCTATCATGATTTCCTTAGAATAACAAATTTTGTGTATAGTCATAAATACTTGAGTGTTTTGGGTTTTTTTTCTGTTGCATGTCGGTGTATTTTAGTCACAGGTAAAAAAACAAAACAAACAAAACATGTAGCTACGAGTCCCTCCCTCCATCTGTAATGCTATTTATTTCATGTTTCTGTCTGTAAATGTTGGAGCTCTTCTGTAATCCCTGTAAAAAAAAAAAAAAAAAAAAAACCCAGCTGGTCTCAGATCAGTTTTTTTTGTCTTTGTTTACATGAGGGTTCAGAACAAGGCAGGCAAGGGGCTGAATCACTGCCTTTTGTTAACTCTTTATTTTTTTTGCTTCTACTTTTAGCAATTTCTATATCAAACTGCTTCTGTTATGTTTATAATTATTATATTTTGTAAAAAAGAAAGATTAAAATGATCATGTGGTAAATATTAAAATGCTTTTCTTGTGTATTAATGATTTTAGATGTTGGCACACATCCGTCACCTTAAAGTTTAACAAGGGGAGAAGTGAAATCCAAAATCTGTCAATGTAGAATATACTCATATCATACAGTTGTGTAGATTTGGTTTAAGAAATATTTCATGTATATGCTGTGAAAGAGAAACACTTGCAGTACTGATCTGATTCATTATCTTTTAACACTTTCATGACTTAAAGTTCTCACATTTCACCTTTTTTTTAAATTCTGGCTTCATGCTTTGAATCTTTACATTTAATCATTAAATTATACAGTTATACATGTGTTTGCTATTAAATGGATTGGAATGGATCACAATGAAGGCAAAAAAGCACAAGAATCATTGATGTAATGTCTTACTTCAAATCTAAATGTACAGGAGCCCAAGGGGGTCACACACCTAGACTTTTTATCCACTTTGTTTTTTCACAAGAACATGGCATTTATGTTTTTTTCATCAGCGCTCAAAATTTTCACCCTGCTATCGAGACAAAAAAAGTGTTTCTTGTAAATGTCTGTTGTTTTTCAGGATTTAAATGTATTTCTCCCATCTCTCCAATTTTAAGATTACGGCACAAAACAGTCAATGATCAGAACCACAGAGAACAGACAAAGCAACAGAGTTTTCTAAACTTATCTAACACCTTGATCCTCTGATCACTCAGAGCACTACATTACATATCTCATTCACACACTGATGGCAGAGGCTGCTGTGGAAAGCAGCATCAGTATTGGCTTCTCACTTTAACACAGAAAACCAACTCTACCACCGAGCTGCAACCACTCCCCCTGGAAGGTCTGGTGGCTCTGCTTGGGAATGTTGCTTGGGAATGTTTCAGATTTCAGGTTTGTCGCTGTGAGAGGCCCCCCAGGAGCAAGAGGTTGGCTGGAGGACCCAGTGGAGCTAAGAGAAGAGGTAGAAGAGGAATAAGTGAGGAAGAAGTCATTAGAGGAGAGCCCAAGACTAGGAGCTCAAGCTACCTTACACTGGATTAGTGTGAGTAAATAGGTTGTTTCCCACTTTTTTCATTTGTTTTATTAGTTCCTTATTTTCATTTTGTTGTAAGTGTTTGTTTTACTTTGAGGCTATATCTTTGAATATTATTTTGGTCTTCTGATTGCTGTGAAAGGGTCCAGCCCCCATTAAGGATTTGAAATGATTGGTGATATGAAGTGTTTCGTTTTTCTAGTGAACATTTTTTTCTAGGCTATAAAGTTTTCTCTCTCCTCTCATTCTCCTCCGCTCTGTAACTCCCTCTGCTGGTCCCAGGCTGCAGTTGAAGGAAAAGAGCCTCGGGGTGGTCCTGTGGCAGACTTCGCCTTCTCAGGAGCAGCAGCGTGATTTCATCAGTTGATCCAGTCTGTAATGTTGTATGGGAGGCACAACAATTACACACAGAAAACTTTGTATCATGGTGGATAAAATTACATCAGCAAAGACACTGAAAGCAATCAGGAACTTGTATTGTCATTTGCTTGACAAAAATTCTCAATGTTTACATTTTTATGTTTGTTGTGTATGTGTGATGATATGCCTATTGAAATTTATATTTAAGTTCATATATATCATATTACAAAATGATAAAGTGAATGAAGGTTTCTACTTTAGCTGTTTGTAACTTTTCATCCCAAAGACTTTAATAGAGGAGGGGCAGATCCAAAGGTTGACTGAAATCTGCTTGGTCATCCCAAAATCTGTTTGCCTTGTCAGAGGCTGGACTGGTGTAATAATTAACCTGCTGGGCTGTGTTACAACAGGCTGTCAGTCTCTTTCCTTACATCTTAATTTCGCTCATTTCCCTTTTCAAGGACTGCAAGTTTTTTCTTTTTCCATGACTCAAAAGATTAATAAATAATAAATAAATATATAAACAAAACAGGGTCACAAAAACATCTTTGAGCGCTCCAGTGTCTGTCAGGATTAGTGCAGGTCAAACTTTGTCACACTCCTCAGAGGAAGAAACGTTTTGCATCCTGGTTAAAAGTATTCTATTAGATTTAATTCAGTCTAAATTACTCCCAAATCTTCACCTTGAACTTTAATTAAGTTGAGCAGGGTAGCAATATTTTTGGTCTCTACTTTTCTGTTTTTGGACTCACAAGAAGAATTGTAATTTTCTGTGTGTGTTTTTGTTTTGTTTGTTTTAAATATGACTTTCTCAGTGCTCACTGACTTTAAAACAGCTGAAAAAAGAACTTGGGGCACTGTGATCACTGAGGAGTAAAAGTGTGAATCATGATATTTTGATGTGATGTTATATAGATAAAAATTTGTGTAATCTGATTTCATAAATGTAATTTAACACAAAAGTAAGGGTGAATAAATCAAGTGACACATAAAAGAAAATCCATAGTGTGAAACAAATGATAATCTCTGGTATTAGGTGTGTTTTGTCTTTGAATGTAAGTCTCTTTTGTAAAGGACAATTGCTTCGACTTATATTCTAAATGCAGAAATTTAAATCTTTATTATGAGACACTACAGTCATCATAGCAATCATTTCAGTCTGCCACTTTGACACCAAGACCTTTTTCATAATGTAACACACGTAATTGTAAAATATCTACAGTCTTCTGTCAATGATGGTCAGTTAAATTAAGGAATTTTTAGCAGAAATGTTCATAACTTTAACACTATGTGTAACACCCAGATGTACAGTCCTCTAGTTTCTGTGTGAAGAATAAAATGAAAGGATACGAGCAACGAGAGAAGGCATAAAATGAAGATACAATGAATGTGCAAAAGCAGGAAGTGAATGTGGGGATGCAAAAGGGAAAAGCCCTGCTGTTTCTTTTTTCTTTTCTTTTTATTTGTTGAAACTTTCTCTTTATCTCATGTGACCTCTTGTTCCCCTGACCAGCTTTTACAGGCTGATTAGAAGCTCCACTGCTTATAAACACATATGTAAATATGGGGAAATACATGCAAAGTGGATATAAAACACATTACTGGCATGGAAGCCAATTAAAGTGAACATTCTTTCTCATTATTTCAAAGTCAGTTGACAAAAAATAGACAAAATGTGTTTCTCAAAAAACAAAGTGACTGAATAAAAGGGTTTGTTTTCCTGCTTATTTTAGTGGGGTGTTCATGCAGGAGAAATCCACTTGTTTTTCACAACCAATCGATGGCTCAAAACAGTAATTCTCAAAGTGGGGGACACGTTTTTGTCGTCAGCACAGCAAGCCCCAAAAGCACTAAATAAAATGTTTTGGGGTCCACAAGAATACTTCAGTAACCACAAAAATATGTCCCTGATCAAAAAGTAATTCACAAATTTATGTGTGTTTCATGAAAGACAAAACAGATAGACCTAGGTTGAGCAAAACAATGTTACAATTTAATTTAAGAGAGGCTTTGTCTAAAGCGAAGTACATCTGAGAACAAGTACGACACAAGCAACGATCTAGTCAGAAGGAGACAACATGAGTCAGAGACACAAACTGATTCAAGTGAGAGCCACCAAGGTGCACTCTAGCCAGATTTTACAGTTGATGCATCTTCCTTGCCCACTTGTTTCCCAGTGTAAATGAAAAAGGTCATCTCATTTTCTTTGTTTATTCTTCCTCACTTGTTGAAGAAACCAAATGCAAATAAAAGACAACGGCAAAATCAATCAATAATGAAGACGTTGATGTTGATGGTCAGAAAACCGGTGCTTCTCCAGCTACAGACACACCTGCCACTAAATGTGTCTTCTTCTACTTATAGTGAACAAACATTGGAATTCTCGCCACCTGGTGTGGCACCAGGACAATGAACTCTGTGCACCAATCCACTACTTCCTTAACTTAAGGTAGCATCTTTATTTCCAGTCTGACATTATTGGTCAAACTGATTAATCCATTTGTGTCTGAGTAGTCACAATGGTCAGTCACACCTGGATTAATAGGTTTGTCCAATAATATAACACAGGAAATAAAGGACCCAAAGAAAATACACTGTATTACTTTTGTACAACTTTTATGTATGCGACTAACACAATGGAAACACAGTATCATCATCAATAGCACCAAACTACCAAGTGCTGAGTTGTTTACAAAGAGTTGCTTCAAAAGGTTTCTCAGAAGTAGGAAGGGGATTGTGTGAATCAAAAGTGGAAGTATCACTCATTCTACCGCAGGGACTACAGAGCAGAAGAGCTGTGCTGAAGGTGTTCCCCAGAGAGCTGAATCTTAAGCTGCAGATCTGAAGGAGTTGAAGAACTGATTCCACAAAGTAATATAAGGTTCACCGAGCCAAGGTAAGAAGTAGCTATGGCCTGACGTTCCATTATTATGTTGGTATTTTCTTCATACACAGCATATTTCATGATAATCTTAAAGAAATATTCACTATATATGTGAGGTGTGGTGTAAATGCACTCTGAGTGTACAACCTGTACATCATCTACATCTGATTTTCAACCAGAGATGATAGGAGAAAGATGATTTCAGAAGACAGTGAAAGGATGAAATTATTTTTCATTTTCAGAAACAACCAGAGGGGGGCAGCAAAATCTCAGTTTCAAATATATTCTTTACACACTGAAGTCCCAATGCTGTCTCGAACTGTATGGTATGAATTTTTGTGTAACTATTGTTTATCCACAACTTTAAATAATATTCAAAGTCTGCTTTTTTATTTTTTGTGGTGCTTAACTTTTTCCTTTCAAATGATTTTACAATCTGCAGAGTTATTATTTGATGCATTAATCATTTTGGTTTTAATGTAAGCAGAGTGAAATAACTGCAACATACACTGTCTGCATGTATAATAAGCTTACTAAACTCAAATTTCTTGGTCATGTAGACTCAGAGGACAAATACAGGGTTAGTACTTCCTACACATAACAACCAAAGTGCCACACACACACACACGGCTGTATGCAGTCAGTAAGTTGTGGCCTTGTATTGAAATTGAAATACCGTGGCTGCTCTGGGCTGAATAAGAGTGTGGTTTTGGCTCATACTTGTTTTAAGACATGCTCATACTTCTACAGTCCCACCAGGGAAAATAAAAGTGTCCCCGCTTTTGTTGTCCTCTTTATATTTTTGTTATCACCCACCAAGTGAGCCCAGTGGGAGTCCACCTCCCACTGATAAAAAGGCAGTGACTGATATGTTTGGATCTTATGAAGGACATGTTTGCTTTCTGTCAGCTTCAATATAAATCGCTCTAATGTATAGAGGGAGGGTTTGCTCTTGGGATGTTAGAGCTCTTGGCGAGTGTGGCCTGATGAAGTGTGGGTCCTCCTGGGGGGGCTTTATGGGGAAACTGTGGTGCATGCAGAGAAGAGCTCATAAGGGGGTTTTAACCATTTAAGGAGTGTTTAGATTGTCATTTTTCAATTAAAGCTCCAGCCTCATCCTCTGATACTGTCTTTTTCATTCAGTTAACAACACTACACACGAAGTCAGGGGAAGTCAGGTGTAATGGCAGTCATCTGTCATATTTTTTTCTCTATCCATATGTTATAGTTTTTTTCCCGACACTAGAGACCGTGTGTTTGTTCAGTCTGTCCTACTTTAAATCTTGTATCTTTCTTTTATAATGCATAAAATAGTGATTGGTTATTACCCATGACAAAGAATGAAAAGTTGAGCAAGCAGCCGCTGTGAACTTGTCTTCTTTCCTCTCTGGACGCCTGTGCGTAAAAACTCTCCGCTTGGATGATCAGATAGCCAGAGAGGAGCCAGACGAGGAAGTGAGGAGGAGGGACCAGAGCAGAGCAGTGGCGTGGTGTGTGTGAGTGAGTGTGTGTTCAGGGAGAGGAGTTTATTCTTGATGTTCCCTACGCCTCCAGCGCTGGGAAATCGAAGGATCTGTGGAGTTCAACTTTTGCTTTTATTTTTACCCAAAGCGCAGTAAAATGCGTGCGTAAAAAGGCGCCCAGCTGCAGCGCTGACTCTTGAACGCGCTTGTCTTTTTAAGAAACTTCCACACCTTTGCTGTCAATGTGAGCACAGGTAGTCCCGAGGATCCCGGAAGAACTCGTACTGCAGGTTGCCAGGTTGTTTGCATATCCTGTACGTTTACTGCAAAGCGAGAAGGTGCCCATGGACTTCTTAACCTTACCCAAAAAGTAGCTTTCCTCGCCTAAAGTTTTCCCGTTTATCGTAAATAAACGCAAAGAAGATGAAGGAGCTGAAGAAGAGGAAGCTGTACGTGGTGATTGACGTGCTGTGTGTTATAGTCGGTAAGTTATGAACTCTTAACTATACGTCAGCATAATCTGACATGTTATCTGGGAATTGCTGTATATGTTTTCAGGAAGCTTAAGATACGATCTTTGTGGTGACAGCACTTCTGGCCAGTCGATGGGTGTGTTTGTACCCATGGCTGCAACTCAGGAATCCCAGGCAAATAAATGTGTGTTTATTTACACGTTAAAATGACGGAGAAACGTGTTTTAGGGAGACGAAAGATCTCCAGGACAACACGGAAGCGATTAAATCTTGGTCTGTCTCTCAATGCAAATGATTTCCATGCATGAGTTTGAAAGTTAAAGCGCAGCCTGTCACCCCGTTTGTTAATGCAGATCCAATTTGCATTATGTCCAGAGAGTCCGGGCAGAAATGTGGCATTAAATTGCACCGTGGCGAGGAAATATCATTCTGTTTCCTCCCACAGGCCTGCTGCATGCTTCTTTCTCACCAAAAACTTTGCAGGACTTTACAGAGCCTCAGGAAGCTGAATGTTTGTTTATGGAAATTTGATATGCATGTGTGTGCTCCAGTTTTTCCTCTTTTTCTTCTATACTTTGTCTGCCAGGAGTCTTCCCAAGAATGTTCCCACTTTCCCACAAACTGTGCTTTTCTAAAGAAATGACTTCCCCAGAGCTCCACAGACTATTGTTTTGCATTTAACCTCAGTCAGAAAATATATTTGAAGGAACAGCATGTCTTTTTTTTTCCATCCAGTCTGCTGTAACTAGATCATATCATTGCTCCAAAACCCCTCTGGGCAGTAATTAAAAAAATGAGATGTGGGAAAATGAATCCTAATCATGAAACAAATTGTGTTTTTAGTTGTCAGCGTTTTCTTAAACCATTTATCTGTAGTGAATGAGTCTAAATTAGAAGTGATGAGTGAAGGACACTTATTTTGGATAAATGAATATTTCACTGACTTGTTTTCAGTTAAAAATAAAACAGAAATTCATAAAGGACATTTCAAAGCCAAATATAATTTCATAAATACAATAGGTGGTTTTAGAGAGGTTTTGAATATGTTTAAGAAAACAGCTACAATCTTAAAATGATTTATCAAAATTTAACTAAAAGAGTTTTTTGATCAGCTGTGTTGTAAACATTTCCATGACACCTTTGATCCTCCTCAAGGATAAACAGGCTAATCTGAACAACAATCATGAGAACTCCACCCTGAGAAGAAGATGAAGCTGTTTTCAGTCTCACCGTTGAAGTGTGTGTGTGGAATGTATCGCTGTTGTGGGACTTATTGTGCATTAACACCAACAGCCTATGGCTGACTTGTGTTGTGTAACTGCCTGCTGCTTAGCAGCATGCTCATCCCTTGTTGTGTCTGTTCTGGTGACAGCGGTGAAGTTGGAGGGGGAGCAGAGACAGGGGTGATGGCTCATCCATGTGTAGATCTGCTTGACTGTGCACTCTCAGCTCCCCCTCCTCCTGCCTGGCTTTTCAGAGAGCTTAGGGGTGCTTTTCCATGTGAGGGAACATCCGCAGACTGCTGAAGTTGATAAGCCCCGCCATTTTGCTGTCACAAGTTTGGGATTAACGTCTGGGCTGGGTTTGGGCTGGTCGGTCAGGTCTGGGTAGCAGCATCCCACCCTGATGCCACCCACGTCTTTCACCCATATACTCGTCAAATCAACCTCAAGCTTATGTGCGGTCTCCTTAGCCATGTAGCAACAACATGATGGAGGTTGTAATTATGCCCACCATTAGTCTGTATGGAAACTTAAGTCGGTTTTGTCCGCATATTTTAAAGTAAACCAAAAAATTCCCATGAAGGTCTACCAATGTGGATGTTTTTCCTCTCTGGATAACAACTGCTGTCTTCCCCTATAACCTCTCATCTCACCAGCAGACTCTCAAGCCAATATTTGTACCCCCATCAGACCCATGCTAATTCTTGCAGGGATACTGGTATTGCCTGATATTGATACTGGTAGGGATTAGTGCTGCATGATTTGGTAAATTGTGTGACTGTGATTATAGTGAATAATACTGCTTGGTTATCAAAAAAGTATGAAGAGATTATAGGTAGCTTTGATGTATTTCCTTATTTAAAACATTCAAATAATGGATTTTGAGTGTTTGAATGCTCACTTGAAACTTATAGAGATACGTGTTCATGTAAAGTTTGAGCACTTGTACCAGTAAACATGAATACAGTAAATGGTCACCCATGTTTGGACCAGATGTAAATGACCCCTCAGACTCGGTAAGTGTGCTCTGCTGTGGTTTTATTTGGTCTTGACAACCTGAAGCTGTGTGTTCATCTTTGCATGGTTATCCTTTTTTTCTGTGTGATGTTGGTACAAGTTGATCCTGTTTTCATGCAAGACAGCAACTTTTATATTTCAAATTTTGTACAGCATTACTTTCTGTAAATTTTCAACAATATTTCTATACAATAGATGTTGCATCTCCTAGCTGATTCACTGTGATACTGCCCATCAGCATTTATGCTAGTCACTCTTCGCTCTGTGCCTTGGAAAGTCATGTGACCAGACAAACATAACTCCAAACAATATGAGGAGAGGTTGCAACCTTTGTGGATATTCATGCACAGTTATATAATTGCACATTTCATAATTTGTGCAGCAACAGTGAGGATACAAGCTGCCTATACCAATGCTAGCTGAGATGTCAGTATTGGCATACTAATAGGAATACCAATAATGCCTGATACTGATGCTGGTAAGGATACCAGTATGGCCTGGTACCAATACTTTCATGGATACCAGTATCGATATCAGGCTAGACACAGATACTGATAGTGGAACCAGTGTCTATATCGGCCCCGGATACTGCTTTAAACCCTTCATATAGGGTTTTGGTAACCATACAAGTCAAAGCACCACTTTTGCTGTGTACATCCATCTCTCTCCTATCATCTTTTGTTGAGAGATTCAAAGGCTGTATAAAAGCAGCCGGTATAATAACAGTGCAATTTCCTTGGTACACTCTCCCTAACTCACACGCTGCCTTGCCCATCTAAAGCTACAAGTGGTCATAAATGGATGAGTGCGTAAAACAACCACAGGAGCTCTCAAAGGAAAAATGAGATGCAAAATGGCTGTCTAGAGCTAAGACGTTTTCAATATAGGCAAGTTTCTAACTACGCAAGGATCATTTGAGCTACTCCTCAAAAATCTGCCTGGGTCTTGAGTTTATTGTTGGGGTTGTACCCTCGTCTTTTCTCCTCCTCCTCCTCCTTTCTTTCTTTCTTCACTGTATCCCTCCCTCTGTCTGTGTAAGACTACACTCAGCACAAATAGATGGTGGGTGTTGGCTGCGAACACAGAGAGGAAAGACCGGGCTTTAACCTCTCCCTGGCTCCAGCTGCTCATATCTGTAGGTGCAGCACTGCAGGTGGAGGCTGTGTAAGAGTCGAATGAGCAATATGACCTGGGTGCTGCTGAAGGCGACGTGAATGTGAACGAGCTGTGAGTTATGAGTAATGTGTTAGATACTCTCAAGTAAGTAATGTGTGGTTAAATGGCCTGGAGGGAAGGCACTGGTGCAACACATGCTCACGCAAACTTTTGTTTTTTCCATTTGTGGACTCTTTGTTGTGCTTGAAAGTAGGTTAGGACAAACCAGTTTTACAAAATGGCTATTATGTAATTGATTACAGTCATACACACTCACACACACACTCACACACACACACACACACTTTGGTTTACTGTATGAAGAGGGAGCAGCTCAAGTTTAGGATTTCCATGTGTCATCTTTCCAACAGTGATAGGAGGACACTCTGTTATTTAATTTAAATAAGTTTGGGTTTGTTTACAGCTATTCACAGGTGCTGATTGATAATAGAAGTGAGTGAATGATAAAGAGTTAAGAAGAGGGGGGCTCTGAGCAATATCAGATTTTGTATTTGCATCGTATTATTAACCGTTGAATTAGCTGGTTTAGCTGGTTGTTGATCAGAGTGTGTCAGTGCAGTCGTTTTGCTGCAGGGTCTCAGGGGAGTAGGGCCTCTTGTTGCCGACGTGTTGAGAAGACGGATTGTTCCAAGTTCTCAGAGAAAAAGGCAGTAAGGACGTTCAGTGGGAATTGTTTTTCCTCAGGAGAGCTCTGTCATGGAAACTAAAGCCCTTTCAACAAACAGACTTGTTCCTGTGAGAAATACGGGCCATGTTTGTTTCTCCGTCTTCTTTGTGTTTTTCATGAAGTAATCATCTTGATTGTTTGGGGATTTCTGGTTAATTTGACAGTCTGGTTTTAGTCACAGTGATAAGTAGACTTGAATATTGAATATTTTGCTTAAATTGAAAACGGAGGATGTTTTGGAGAGGATTGTCATAGTTTCTTTGTACCAGTAACATGATCTCCAACATTTATAATATCCCAGCTTCCTCTAGATAATTAAAATGCTGCAAACATGTTGATTATTTACTCAAAGGTCTTAAAAATAGACAGAGAGTGAAGACAAAATAATGGAGAGAGGAAAATTTTTATTTATAAACAGCAACAGAGTTTTGCACTTTTAAGAAAAAAAACTAGATAACAGCTTAAAGCTCCAGTCAGAAACTTTAGTTTTTTTGGTGATTTTGGCTCCACTGTGGACAAAGTGATACCTCCCCCAATCTCCTTACTGCAGTGGCTGAACCACACTTTTTTGATTATGGTTGCCAAACTGGGGCGCTGACTTTTGTAGGGGTGGCCAGGAATGGTAAAGATTGGGGACTTAACCCAAACTGCTGAGGGTTATCTCTGCTAATCACATCTACTTAAACTTCAATTATAAAACAATCTGAAAAATATTGTGAACAGTATTTGACTTTAAAGATAGCTTAACAGAGTGGCATCATTAAAGTTGGTTGAACTTGATGCTTTAGGGATTCAAAAAGAAGGTTTTAGTCAAAAGTCTAGAGAAAATGTTCGGTACTAAAATTCAAAGAACTTGGACAACTTGGTTCCGCCTTCCACCAGTATATGGATTTAAAGCCAAAAAGCTGTTGGTATATCCAAGTTTTTCTCCATTTTCTGAAACCAACATTGTGCAGTTGTGTTGTATGCACTCCACCACTTGCCCAGTAGCACTGTACGCTTTGACGCTCGGCTCAAATAGCGTATCCCCCCAAGTGAGCTACGCAATCTTCGTACGCCCATAGGCAGTATCAGGTGTCAATCATAGAAAATATGAACCCCCTAATAATTTTTAAAAATTGAGCTGTACAGAAAAAAGAGGACTTGAGCACAAACCAGTCTTACAATAACTACATGTAAACATCGCAAGCAAGGGAGAGAAAAAATTATATTTTGTGTAATAAATTTCTAAAGTTTGTCCACAGCTCTATAATAGGGATGGCTGAGGGAGGCGGGATTTATGACCTATACTGCAACCCGTCACCAGAGGGTGCTGTTCTCAGGTTGGCTTCATCCAGCGAGGAGGCAGACAACGTCCATTCCATGTACAGTCTATGGCTAGAACACAAACCAAAAAAGTGGCGTCAATATGTGTGCTGCTTCTAAAAGGACTGACAGCCAATCATAATTTAGGGTTTCAGAGGGCTACCACTGCTCCACCGCTGCCTTTCTAATCTTGTCCTGTTTACAGTTGTGTTTTCTGACAAAAAGACAAACACATTCAGCTTTTCTTAACAGTTAAATTCTTCAGCTATTGTAAATATTTGTAGGTGTTTTATTTTGTTTATGAAGTTAACATTTACAAAATTTATAAAAGTCCGTTACTTTGAGTCTCTTTATGTCTTACTACTCAATGTAACTCATTAATGTATCAAAGAAAGGTTTCCTGTTTCACTTCAGATGCATTTCCCCCTGACTCCTAAGGGAATTACTAATTAACAGATCACTGTGTTTAGTGACTTTTTTATTAGGCTGTTGTTTGCAGTCTCTTACCTGTCTGCTTCTCTCTCTCTCTTTTTGCCTCAGTGAATGGTATCTACAGCTGCAAAGACTAAGTGTTGTGTATTATTTTATCATATAAATGCCCCACAACCAAAGAATATTACACACGACAGTCATATCATATGAGTTACTATTTTAACACAGGCCTACTGTTCTCCCCCAGCCCTTGGGAACCAAAGAGAGAAAGACGGGGAGAGAAAGAGGGAGTGCACACATAATTATGTCTCGCATAGACGTGAAAGAAAAACTGGTCATTGGATCATGAAACCTGACACAGCTCTGTATGACTCTGTGTTGTCAATGAAGTATGAGAAATGCAGTTAAGTCCAGCTGAGTCCTGCACAAGTTCAGAGCATTTCAGTGAACCCATGCACTGTACTGAAATACTGAGATAAAGCTGTTGAATTTTGACTCTTTCCTAGTCTTGGTAGAGACATGTCCCTATCTTACCTGACTAATTCTTTGTTCTTGGTCTCCTTTAGAAATCACAGCAAGGACCCGCTGCATAGTATGTTTGAAAATGCTATGCAGACACACAACACAGCACATTAAGAGTGAGCTTCCCAAGAGGCATCCGTTACAGATCTTCTCAGAGCGCCTCCTGCTGACTTTCTTGGTATAGTTTAAAACCTGTGTGGCCTGTCTCTTTCATCTCCAGACTCCTTGATTGCCACCTCAGATTTTGCCGCCTGTCACTCACATCACTTCGACTTGCCACCCTGCGTCCTTCTGCACTGCTTACAGCTAAGCACGCATGAACGATGCAGGGAGCGAAACTGCGGGATTAAAAATAAAGAATGGGCAGGAGCAGGATTTGGTGTGACTGGTGAGCTTGGGCGTTCCTCTTGTGAATTAGAATTCCAGAGGCCAACGCCAGCAGAGGTTGTAGGCTCAGCACATACCTTCCACATGAGTCAGTTGGGCTCGGGGTGAGACAGTCAGAAAGAGGGAGAGTTTGGTTGTTTTGTTACTGCAAGCCATCTTTGAAAGGTCTCTAACATCACCTATGTTCAAGAGATTTGGTGCTTTGGGTTTCGTGCTGTCATTTCAACAAAAGCCTGTTTGCTTTGGAGGGAGGAAACAAAAGAGTGGAGGGAAGAAAGAGGGGGAAACAAAAAAGGGAGAAAAAAAAGCTTGTCTCTGTCATTGTCCATAGTGGAAATGGACAAAGTTAGAGGTATAAAGAGTGACACAGATTCAAAAAAAATATATAGAAGCAAGAAATTATGTTAGTTCAAGAAAAAAGACACTCACTGACCTTCATGCTGGGAAAAACAAGAAATGAGAGTGGAGTGCACCAGCTGTGACCCTGAAGGAAACTTTGAGACCAAACAGGGCAGCCCTGGGGCATGAGAACACCCCACACTCATGACACACACACATACAGATTCAGCATACCTAGAGAATATGTATAATTAAAACCCAGACTGTATGTTTTTCAACTTGAGGAGAGTAATCATCCCTTCACATGGTCCTGCAGGTGCTGCACGTTATGTCGGAGTAACCGGGGCAAGTAGGTGTGAGGCACTCGCGACTCTCACCCGCTGCAACAGCTTCCAGATGAATGTGGCAGTCGACTTTTCTTTAGAAGGACTGAAAAGGAAGACGAGAATCTGAAATCACCAACTAGACAGAGAGAGGTTGTGACAAGCCTCGAATCTTGTGTGATTGTGGTCCAGATGCTCTGGTGTAATTGCACATCTGCCGTCTAAAAAAAGCAGCATCCCGTTGAGGCCTCTATATTTACAACAGAGAAAGAAGTGTGTGGGAGGAGGCTGGGTTTAAGAGAATGACTGACATAGAGATGGACTTTCTGAAAGAAGAATGAATGACTGACTGAATGAGAATGGGGGATGTGAATCATCAGTGGTGGACGGAGGGAAGGAAGGAGAGAAAGAGTGCAACTGTCTCCTTACACTGACGTCTTTGTTGCAAAGGTCGTCCACACTGTATTTTACTCTCCAGACTCTCTCAACACACAGTTTTAGTTTATAACTCAGTTTTTTGAGCCTGTAGAAGAAAAGGGGAGCAAATAGATGCTTTATTTGCACCAAGGTTACAAAAAGCCACCATCTTCCCAAATTTGATTTCTGGTATCTTAAATGTGGCTTTTTAAAAATCTGCGACAGGAAATCTTGAGTCTTGTGTCCTGCTACTTCAAACAGGATCCCATTAAAGGGGCTCAGGCAGGAGGTTTCTGACTGGCAGCTGGAGATTAGCTTCCTGGCCACATTTCAAACTGGCAGCATTTTCCTCTCTCTGTCTGGAGAAGCAGGTGTCTAAAAAGGTCTCTCCGGTTTCCTGAATGAAAACCTCATCCCCCCTCTAACTACCCTTCATATGTGCGTTCTTTTGGCTTTTCTCCTTCAGAAGAGCTCACCCTGGATGTCTGGGTTTAGCTTAAATCAGAAGCACTTGGTCTCTTGGTTAAGGCAGATCTGGGTGCAGTGTCCGTTTGGGTTGTGGGGTTGTCTCGTGGTATCCTGAAGACCTTTTTGGTCTGCCCAAGGGTCTATTTTTTGCCCCTATGCTGTGGATGTACACATGTGTCTGCTCCTGAGGAGAGAGGCCTGTTTGTTTCTGTCAGATATTATCCACAGAGGCTCTGCTCATGAAACACATCCACACACCTTAAGATGTGCCACTTACTCTACCCCTGAGAGTGGACCAGACTTCCTACGTCACTTTATTTGTGTGCTTTTATCCAAATCCAAACTTGTAAAAAATTCTATTTAGCTAAAGTCAGCAGAATCTTTTAATCCGGAGAAGGAGAAAAAATCACAGTTTTTTACAAGCCAGCGGAGGGTATTTCAAGGCCAACTGTGTGAACTGGCAAAATCCGAGTTTATCCAGGTTTAGTGACGCAGATTAAATAAGCACGATAAAAACTCTTAAAAGACTTATTTGAATGTCACTAAATGAGTAAAAACCCAAGCTGTAATAATGTTGATGTACATGCAAAAGTTACGGAGTCCTTCCTTAACTTTCAAGGTGTCAGCAAAAGAGAATATTTCATCGACTGCTGGCATCTCTCTTTGAAGTTTTTCACTTCATTTTTCTCTCACTCTGCTGTGATTAATGGCCCCGCTCTGGCATGTGTTAAAAACCCCATAAAACAGTTTGAAGTTACTAAACCATGCGACTCCACTGTAGGAATAATTATGTCTTTCTGGCACTTAAAGCTGACATTCACCATTGCTCTAATACATAAATTCATATTCTTCCTGATTTTGTCAAGTCGTAGTCCAACACAAACATTTCTAACTTGCTGTTATATAGATGTAATACATGTTAAAGTATCTGGTCAAAGGAAGTTGTTTTTCCATTTGTTCGCAGCTCTAATTCATATCTATGCTCATTATAAAGATTCCACTTCACATTAGAAAAGTTTTTAATGTCTGATGCAATGTTTTCAGTAGGAGCAGTTTTAGTGTTATAGTGCCCCCCAAAAGCAACGCCTCTAACCCCACCTAAGGCAGGGATGGACAACGTTTGGTCTGGTAATATTATGCTTCCAAATATAAGATATTTGACTCGCTGTGTAAATTTTACTCCTGTCTAGGAGTACTGGATGTACTGGCAATAAAGAGGACTTTGGAAATGTTTAAAACAATATTAGAAAGATACTCAGCATCAGGGTGGCCAGAGAGAGAAAAAAAAACTTCTCGAAGCATTCAGAGTTTCCATGCAATTTTCTGTCTTTGTTTTTTCACATCAATCACAAGTATTTCAAACCATTTGGCTGAGATACCCTACCCTTTATGTAATTTATCAGAACAGTTGAGTCAGCAGCTAAATAATAACTCCCATAATGATGCTGTATCCACTTTCAGTTTGACAGTGGTTCAACCATGTTGCAGCAGCAGTGAGATGGAAAGGCAAACTAAAGGCGCGTTTAACTTTCCTAGTTTCTTAACAGCTGGTAGCAGGATGCAGGACACAGATGTGTGACCCAGAAGCCACATCAGTGAATCCACATTTTTGACATCCTCTGAGACAGGATGTTTGTGGAACACAAAAGACCCCATATTGTGTTGGTGTAACAAACAGGATTTTGGAGATGCAAAGAGGAAACTGTGAGGATTAAGACCATTATATGTAGTCTACCATGTCCTGGCATGGCTGGTAAATGTATGAGCTGGTGGTTGGGAAGCTGTCGTGCTGGGACAGGTGTCTCCCAGCTGTTGTAAACACAGAGGGTGTGTGTAGTGTTAAAGGAGAAATACATACACTGAGCGGGTTTTGGTTTATGTTTTCTAAAGTAAGTATTCAGTTACTGTGTTAAATTAACTCTCCAGAAGAAACTTACAGGCCAATCTCAAATGTCTGAGGATCAGATAGCTCAGCATAAAAACAAGAAACACTGGGGTACTGCTTGCCTTGCTCTGCTGACGCAAAAGAGAAATTTTGGCTGCATGAAAAGATTGACTATAATCCAACTGTTATGTTGGACATGAGATGGTTGATATGGTGTTTGTGTTTTCAAGTCAAAGTTTAGCTGTAGCCAGCAGCCTGTTAGTTTAGCAAAGAACTACTACTAAAAAGAGAGGGAAACAGCTAAAAAGCTGACGTGTTAAATGTTTTGGCCTGTAATCTGTCTGAGAGTAAGGTTAAAGCCTTGATGTCATCTAAAGTGTGAATGTCATATACTACAGTCATACATAGTGAGTAATTAATTTTATGTGACGCTCAGCTACCCTCTGTCAAGAAGGGAACATTATGACTCTGTCCTAAAGGTTGAAAAACTGAACTGGCAGAGAGTCACGTGAGTAGAAAACATGAGAAGTCTGAAACCACTCTTTTGTCTGTAGCCATTAAATGTTTAGTAAAACTTTAGCCAGTTAGCTTATCTGAGCATACAGACCGAGAAAATAAATACTCAGCCTTATTTTATTCAAAGGAAAGCAGCCTCAAATCTCAAAGAGTTCGATGTTAAATGATAGCTAGCAATCAGTGAAATAAGTGTAGCATACAGGCTAGCGCAGGGAGTACTAGTTAGACTGGCATCTACAGGAATAACGTGCGTAAATGAGAGTTAGCCTACATGCAGAGATCAATAACTCTTCTGTACCAATTTGTAAAATGCTAACGCAATAGCAAGCAGCCTTTAAGCTATTCCAGACGTAAAGATAATTAGGAACAGGTAGAAACAGCTAGCCAAGCTATACCGCTAACAAAGCTCATCTGATGGAGGGATTTATTTCACTTTCATGTAGGTTTAATATGTAACTGCAGCAGGTTAGCTTGACTTAAGGGAGAGTACAGCCAGCCTGGCACAGTTTGAAGGTAATACATATCTGGAGGACTAGTGACAAAAAATATTGTCTTTAAAACACATCTTAGGGCAACAGCCAGCTGCTAGCTGACTTAGCTAAGCTTAGAGACTGACAATTACAGCTAGCCTGGCTATGTTTTATGGAAACCAAATATTCATTCTGAATGACAGTTGTGGGAGAAAATGGATACCTCATATATATTCAAATATATAAAGACAGCTTCCAGTTGTCTTAGCTGAGAAAAGAGGGGGCGGAGGGGGCTCTTTAGGAGATGAGGGATTTTGAACTAAACATCCTGTGGGATACTAGAGAAGGGAATTGTGATAGCTCCCTTTCTCAAACGTCATAGACAGATAAGCTCTTCGTGTCTGTCTGTGTTTTGTTTCCTCCTGTTTGTCTGCTCTAAACACTGATCCTCCAAGGTCAGGTTACAATGAGTCCATGTACAGTAATGTATTTATTCTACAGAGCTCCATTGTTTATTCTCCTGCCAACACAAAGCTTCTGTTTTGCTGCTGCCCTTCTTTACCACAGCAGTGTGACTCTTTGTCTTTATGGTGTCTGTAACTGACATGTGTGCAGTTGGCATGCCACTAAACAATGTCCATATCTGTGTGTTTGGGATTGTGTGATAGCAAAAAGAACGGAGGCTTACACAGCATGTCATTGTACAGGTATTGTTATATTATGTTAAATACTGTAAATCCCAGGGTATGCTTAGGAGCTGTAGCTTACACTTTAGCTTACTAGTGCTTTGTTTATGTTTTAAAACTGTATGTTTTTTTTGTTGTGCTTTAAAAGTTAGCATTCACACCTTTCTTCCTTTCAAGGTGCTCAGCCTACATTATAAAAAGCCATAACTTACATTCCTGATTTTTGTTAGCATTCAAACATTTACAGCAGGCTGTTGCTCCTTATTCATCACAAGTGTTGACAGGGTTCAGAGTCAAAGCTGAATCCTAAACTACCTTCAACTTGTATATTTTCCCTTTGGTCTCAGTCTCACTGGAAGTCCTCATGGGATTATGTCAGCTGCAGACATTTGCTAAAAAGAAAGGGAGGGGTGCCTACACATTTACACAGGAATGTAATACTATTGGTGAGAGGTCTTTTCAAGAGTGTGCACTGTTTTTCTTGTATTTAGAATGTGGCCGTACAGCATTTCCATGGTGGCCCCAAGACCGTCTGTCTGCCTGTTTTGGATGGTGGGGGAGGACAATAGAGGTGGGGAGTACATTCCTCAGCAGGGCTGCAACTCGTGATTATTTTCACGCATTGATCAAACATTAACGCTGTCACAAATCATGATAGATACAAATCACAAGTTACCAAAGTGTATGGGTTTTAAGTGAGTGATTGGTTGACTGGGACAAAATGGTGGAGTACATGAAAACTTCAATAACAAACTACACATACTAAACCTGTCACTCTGAATACTTCGAAAATAGGAAATTCTTAATTGTATGATCAAAGAAAGGGTTTGTGATAATGGTCAATGATTTAAGTCGGTGAAAACTTTTGGTACACAAGAAAAAAAAAAACATCAAAAAGTAAAAAATACAAACACAAAACTTCTTACAGCATCGCCTATTGCTTTGCCACTGTCATTTTTTCTGTAATATTGTCACAAGCACTTCCTTTGCCTTAAGATTTAAGTTGGAGAAAAGATCGTAAAAGGGCATCTGCAAACTGTTTTTGTCAACTTTTTAAGAACACATCTCTTCAAACGAAAACTCTTACTAACCAATTGTTTATTTTGATACTACATTTATTTATTTAATGAGCGTGTATGTGCTTGGGAGAGTCAAGAGAGTGAGTGAATATTTTTGGACTGGATGTTTACAGGCATCTCAGGGGCATCGCTCATGCACACAGGAGCCTTGGGTAGTTATTTTTGCTCTTCTTTTTTCACACACAGCCACATCATTCAAACTTGTGTTTGTGCGCTGCTTGCAGTAATTTGTGTACAGTCTTGTATGGGTTTATGCACTCCTGTGCCTCTTGGTGATGTGTGATTTTTACACATGCCCACATGCCTTTGCACATAAATGCTATTCTGCCTTGTTTATTTTTGTAACTCCTTGCTGTGCATTTCCACCCTGACATTTTTCTCCCTGTGGGTTGTTCTTTTTTTTTTCATCATTGTGATTTTAGACTTCAGGTCCAGAGTAAGAGAGAGAGAGAGGAAATAATTTAGCTGTCCTTAGAGAAACATTTTAACTTCCTTGTTTTAGAATGATGTAATGTCTGAAAACCTGCAGAGACTGAGACAAACATGTTATTCCAAAACATTTCTCCTCTCAAATATAGGTCTGCGTTTGCTCAGATCAGCAGTGTTCCTGCCTAACAGTCTTCCAACTTATTTTCAGGACAAACACAACTTCTCCAAATATCCAAATGATTGTAATTCATCTTATTAAACTGTTGTCCCCCCTGGTTTGTGTCTCTCTGCAGCGGCTCTGCCCTTCCTTATCATGACCATCGTGTTCAAGCCTTACCAAAGAGGAGTTTACTGTGATGATGAGAGCATCAAGTACCCTTTTAAACCAGACACCATCACTCATGGCATGCTGGCTGCAGTCACCATCTCCTGCACTGTCATCATTGTAAGTCTTATATACAGATCTCACTTAAGTTAAGCCAGAAATCATGGCAAGTTAACAGGACTTAAGTCATTTTACAACATCCTGTGCTGTTTGCTCCATTACCGAATGGCCTGAAGGAATTTAGTAAAGTGTAGAAATAGATTTAGGAAAAGTAATTTGATTCTAATGGTGTGAAAAATTGAGAAAATGTAACAAAACCTTGTAAACACTCTTTCCTCTGATCCCATTTTTTACCCTAGATCTGCTCTGGAGAGGCTTATCTGGTCTACAGCAAAAAGATTTACTCCAATTCAGACTTCAACCAGTATGTAGCTGCTCTCTACAAGGTAGTAGGCACATATTTGTTTGGAGCAGCTGTGAGCCAGTCACTCACCGACCTGGCTAAGTATACTATCGGCCGCCCAAGACCAAACTTCATGGCCGTTTGTGAGCCGAAGGTCTGCTCGGGATACATGCAGGAAATCAACTGCACAGGGAAGCCTCTAGATGTCACAGAGTCCAGGTACGAGAAGAATATCCCAGCATTACACTTGTAGCATTGTGCTTACCTTAAAAGACTTTTATGTGAAGCGGTGCATTATACTGTCTGTCTTTTCCAGATTGTCCTTCTACTCTGGTCACTCCTCTTTTGGGATGTACTGCATGCTGTTCCTAGCGGTAAGTATGGCTCAAAACTCAATGTAAACAGGCATTTATGTGTTCAGAAAACATGGATTTATTTCCATGCTTTGTCCCCGCGAGTAGTAAGTCAGGCAAAAAAGCACAAGGATGGATTATCTGAAAAAAAGCTCTTGCATTTAGCTCCTCACTTAAGGGCAAATTGTTGTGAAGGAGAAAAGGCCCTTTGAGACAGTTTGTGCTAGTGGACATAAAAGGACAGGGAAATATTTCAGAGAAGGAATGTGTGCACTGAGAGAAGTGATCTGAAGTCCTCTGCTGCCTTTTTCCCAGCAACGATGAAGGCTAAAGCATGTGCTATGTTCTGTCTCAGCTGCAATCAGTCTTTTACCCTTGGCCTCCTCTCATTGTTAAAAGTCAGGAATCCGTACACGATAGTTAGCCTCAAGAGGCCAAACTCACAGCAGTGTTCAGTTGAAAAATGTTAGAGAAATGACAGAATATTTCAAGTAAGTGTCCGTTTTGCCAGGAAAGGAGTACAAACAAACAGAGTCAAGCTGTGATATCCAGCCTGTGTCCTACAGCGGTGAGTGTGCATGGCAGGGGGGACTGTGGTGCCATGCCAAATTTTGCACCTTCAACAGCAGCCCAGCAGAAGCCCCGACAAGTCAGTTCTGTTGCCAGGATCATAATTTTTCTGGCAGGTGCTCTTTTCCAGTAAAAAGGGGGTCTTGGTCTATAGAGAACATAAATAAGAGTAATACTCAACACCTTTTTATAAAAATACAATCTAAGGCCTACCAGCCTCAAGGTCTTTCAAGTAAAGTCCCTTTTTTCTCATTAGTTGTTGGAGTTTTACCCCAACAGCTGATGCTACAGAATGTTTGAAGTTCCTGTGAGGAACTTTTTGTTATTTTGGTTTCCACTGTGGACAAACAGGCACCTCTTATTTCTTTAGTAAAAAAGAAATCTCATCTTGCTGTGTCAAAATATGGCTTACTAAAGCTCCTGTTAGGAGTTTTTAACTGGTTGTTTAACGGTTTGAAATTGATACTGATGCCTCTTTATGAGCTGCAAGGGTAGAAAAGACCATCAGCAACAGTACTGACAAAATCCATGTTCTAGTTTTTAATACCTGAAACAGTTGTTGGGGGAAAGGCATCAGACCACATTTTCCGAGTACATATTTACGAGTGACACATATGGCTTGGTGATATGGCCCTCAATCAATATTACGATATATTGAGCAGTTCGCCTTGATAACGATAAATGGATGATAACTACTCCACAAGCTTCTCAACTTCGTCTACTTCAGCCGCTGCTCCAGCTGCTACAACTTTTGAACCGTCCTCCATCTCCTCACCTGTCTTTCCCTCTTTGTTATGGACTGGATGGGGTGGAGTTGCATCTCTGACGTAGGACAGCGTCTTAAAGGGACATGAGACCATAGCCTACCTACACACATCCAAAACCAACTTTTATTGATATATTTTTTTGGCACCGAACATACCGATATGTGCAAAATGACGTCGGTAATTGTCGTAAATCTCGGTATCTGTACATTTTCGGTTTATCGCCCAGCCCTAGTAAATTCTGTTTGGAGCAAACCTTTGGAGAAACATGACAAGGTCAGAAAAGTGCTGAGATGTAAATCTTTGCCAACAGGGGGAGCAAATATCATCAGAAAAAAAAGCTTTGAAACCTGCTGCCACCAAGAAGGTTTTTATTCAGTATACAGTCGATAACTTTGTCTGTTACTTACACCCTAATGTTTCAGGACATTATATTTTACTGTCAGAAGCTTCAATTAAATAAGTGACAACATCTGGTAACAAAAACTTCATTTATGTGTTTTTACAGTGTTTGATAAGCATGTGACATTGCTTTTACAATATTTGTGTTGGCTTAAAGAATACTTAACATAATAGTGACCCTGACCTGTTACATTTTCTTTCCTGTCTTTTCTTCCCTTACCCCTCTTATCTACCATTGTCCTTCTCCTCTTTTCCTTTGTCCAGCTCTACGTGCAGGCCAGACTGGTGGCCAAGTGGGCCAGACTCCTCCGGCCCACCATCCAGTTCTTCCTGGTGGCCTTTGCGGTGTACGTGGGTTACACCCGAGTCTCTGATTATAAGCACCACTGGAGTGATGTGCTGGTGGGGCTGCTGCAGGGAGCACTTGTTGCTATACTCAATGTGAGTCTCCCGGACAACCTCTTTCAAGGACGACACTGTAAAATTTATGGACCCCATCATCATACATGAGATTTCCATTATCCTGTATATGGCAGTCATAATTTTTGTTTTGATTTGGTATCAAGTTACCAAGCTACTCACAACGTTTTGGAAGACAGATTTCAAGAGTTAAGATAAAGTTTGAGATTTGGACAGAAAATACTATATTGTGATTGGCTCAAACTTTAAAATGTTCGCACTCAGTCACACAGACAACTTTTAGTTTATTCATAATGTTTTCTATAAAGTCGCTCCAGCCTGATGTGATGAAATCTTTGGTATTGAGTCTAACTCCTGTGGTTTCATGCTCCGGGAAAACCAAACACGGCTGGAACTGTCTGTAAGAATGATATTTAATGGAAATCTTTCGATCAGTGATGCTGTCTTTTAGGCCAAAAAGCTGCAGGAAAAAAATCCAAAACTTATTTCAGTCTCAGGGAAAAAGAAAGACAAATAAACAGGAAAAATTAGGCGAGTGAAGTGTGACAGCAGCGAGGTGTGATTTGATAGAAACCCACACACTCACGCTGACACACTCTCAGGCAGTAAGTCCATTCTCCTCACTTCATCCAGCTGGGCTCCTTTATTGTTTGGCCACTTCTCTGTTTTGAGTGGGCCACTGTCAGCACCGCCTTGTGGAAATTCTCAAGCAGTGGAGTATGTGTGTGTATGTGTGCATGATTAATTGGGAAGTGAGCCCACGCCTTTGGCCTTCACCGTGCTGTGTGCAATTAGAAACCCTCCTGGGCATGGTGTTTTACGGCCTACAGGGGTTGTGCCTGCTCTCTGTGTGTTCCCCTCAGATGTGTGTGCGTGTGTCACTCACCAGCTGTGCGCAGACCTGTCCAGACACATGTAATCACACTTTCCAGCCCAGCCCTTACCTCCTCATGATTCCTTACATGCAAATACTCCAACTCAATGGGAGAAAATTTCCTCTAAAGCAACCAAATCTGACCCGTCTCCTTTCCTTTTTCCTCTCCTGTGCAGGTGCGTTATGTGTCAGACTTTTTTAAGAAGCGTCCTCCTCGTTGCACCAGGAGGGAGACGGCTGATGGTGACGAGCCGGAGAGGAAACCCAGCCTACAAATTGCAGACTCTGACCATGGCAACCATTACAACTATCACCACAATCCAGGCCCAGTTTGATGGGGCTCAACACTGTGGGAACGAAGGCTGCAGGCTGCAGACCCTACACCTGTGTTAAAGGGTCCAAACTCAGACCCTAAGTCTAAACAGTGTTTAGTCAAGAGAATATCCTGAGTCACCTGCTTTCCTGACTTAGCTGCAGATTCCTGAAACTAAACAAAAAGTTAAGTTTTACAGCTTTTTTTATGAGTTCTGCTTCCAGGCTTTTTGATATCTGTTGAAGGGAGTTCAACTAGGATTTGGTCCGCAGCCTGCAGTCTCTAATACCCCCAATTTCCTCCCCCTGTATCAACCACTCACACCATGCCCCTACTTCCCAACCACTGGACTGACACAAGGGGGATGCATCCTATCACCAGGTGCTGGAGCCCCTTCTTAGAGACACTATATTGACCTCCTTTTCTCCTGTAAGAGAGAGAGGGGCATATTATTTCTAAGACATCATTGTGGATGTTGAAGCGTATTTGCTTAAAGCTGCATTAAGTAAAAGACTCCAGACTCACAGCAACAAAGCTATAATATATTGAGTTACACTAAGTGCTTGTGGCTATTTTGTGTTAGCAAACAAGCTACACTCGGCAGAAACAGAGGAACATAGTCTTTCTTTGATGCAGCATTGACTGTATATAAATATTGACAAGCATCACCACCTTCTCCATTCGCACAAAAGTGAAGCCAAAATATCTTTGTGCATTATTTCTGCTTTTGCGACACATTTTCCCAACAAAATCAGTCAGGCAATCACAGATCAGTTAGTCCTGAGTTTGTAGTACAGAGCACACATTTATTAAGTAAAGAGGCAAAGATCTCTCAGGTCAGCAGAAAAGTCCAATGGCTTTTGTGTTGATTTGCATTGCATTTCTGCAGGAGCTGCATTTGTCAACAGAGCCGTCAATCATGGCTGATATCATTTTTTTGCATCAAAGTTAGTTAAACCCAAACTTCTCTGCAAAAATTTACTCTTGGGTACGTATCAGCATGTCAAAGACTGACTATAATGACAAGAAACCATATTTATAAGACAAACAAAATTATATCACCTGTATTTTAATTTTATGGTTTGACCCATGTCCAATCTGTTAACATGAAGCTGGTGTGGTTTCAGGCACCAAGTTGGTAGAAAGCACAGGATGTTTCACTCTGTGCTTCACTATTGGGGAGCTATCATGTCGTCCATTTTTTCAACTGTCTATTTTTTTTTTTTTTTTTAGGTAAGCTGCCCACAAAGAGTCAAACAGCCTTTAAGTGCCTGAAAACTGCAGAAATCTGAAACATGGTTTTGATTTCAAGTGAGATTGAAAAAACTCGTTTTTTAATTATCAGGAGTTCTTTGATTTTATGGAGCTTTAAAATGTTTTTATACGTTTGTAGTTTCTATATGTCGACAAATTCATTTGTTGGCTGTGTTGAAAGACACGTTTTATTGATAGGTAGAGAGACAAGAATGTGTGTAGTTCTGAGTAAAGGCACAGTTTGTGGATTAGACTCACTTGGATGCACCTTAAAATGGCTCCACACTAGACAAACAACATGAAATTGTATATTGAAATGGCAACCAGATCACAGTGTATGAGCAAATTTCCTCCATTTATGATATCAACATGTTGGCATCCAAACCAAATATGTCGTCTGCAGACCACCTTAAAGTTGCTTTGAAGGGAGATGTGCTGTTTACTGACTTCACCATCATCTAAGCAACAAGTATCATTCAGACGTAACCTGACATCACCTGACAAATTGTTTCTGTGTGCCACACAAACAGGTCTAAGTATCTGCTTGGACAAACAATATGTTTTTTAAAAGCAACTATACAGGTTTGTCATGCCTGGTGACTCACACTATTTAAATCAACTCTCATTCACTACCAGTAGATTTTTACGCCCAGCTGTTCTTCGTACAGGTTTTTCTTAGATGTCATGTTATATAACTTTCCATCATGTCCCATCATATTTTTTTTTGTCTGTTTCAGCTGGTCGTTTTCAGTTTCAAGTGTACTGATGCTGTTCAAAAGTGTATTGATGAAAATGTAGGATTTTTATTCGAATGAGGTTTCCCCTGTGTTTAAAGGACTGCAGAGGTAGAGACCATAGCAGGTGCAGATTGCTTTAATTCCTGTTAGACTCTGTGTGTCATACCACTACAATATTGCCAAATACTAAGGAATATGGCCTCCATTTTAGCTTTATACATAGTTTTTTTTGTAAAACTATTTCTAATCAAAGAAGGATATGACAGCCATTTTGAAAATGGTGTTTAATTTATTTTCAATATAAGAAGTTCTTTATTTACTCTTTGTAGGTTGGAGCGCTGTTAAAGTTTTTGTGCAATCACCCCGCTTGCCACTATGAGCCACAAATACTGTGTATACCAGTGCTATAGGAAATGTGTCATGTTGCTGAAGGATGTATATATATATGCTTGTTTTTTTTTCACTTGTGGGTACAGTTCATTTTAATTTCACCTGTTCGATGAGCTTTGGCCCAGGCCGTCTCAGACTGGTGCCACACGAACGGATCCAATTCTAGCTCCAAACTTAAGCCAGATGCCTTGGCAGGGCTTTTGAAGGGCTGTTGTGATGATAAAAGGTTACATACTTTACTGTGTTTTTGAAGTTTGTAACACTGCTCCATTCCCACTTCAAAGTTTTCGTCTGTGTTCCTTTTCCCCTTCCTGTGCTGATAGACGGGGTTAATTTGCGAATAAGATCTCCCATACAGTTCTTGTACAGCATGCCGACCCCTGAGGACTGACAACACATCAGACAGACCGCAAACCTGATAGGGGAGTAAGGCAGGAAGACGGATAGAATCTCACCTGGTAGTGATTGTGAAGCCCTGTAGCTGAGCAGCGACTGGGGAAAGGTGGGGTAATTTAAAGGGGTGGGGTTATTGGGTATCCTATGGTGAACCTTGGTCCCTGTGGACTTTCTCACATTTTAAACATAGATTTACAACAAGAAACAGCTGGAACTGGTTGTGGTAAAGTGCCTTGTGAGCCCCATGCCCTGATCCCCAACATCTAAATCATGTGTGTAGCAATGCTGCTAGACAAGCAGGCCAACTGAGGATGTAGAAAAGTCATGGTGTTTGATTCCCCTCCAGCGTCATGGAAACTGAGAGCTTCTCAACTGGTGATGTGGCTCTACATGTTATTAAGCTTCATTGAATTAGTGCATCAAACTAGGCACTTGTTGACCAATCTCCTGCTTATGTGCTCACTAGTAGGTATAATTCATGTTGTTTACCTTTTTGTATATAGATTATATCATTAGACTCTACACCAGAGACTTTTAAATAAAGATATACTCCACATTAATTTATTTTGGGTTTGTTTTTTTGTTCAGTGTTCACATACATGTCACTGATGAAATCACTCTGGGTTTTCTACATCATTAAAGGGATATTCAGGCGTAAAATTAATTTAGGGTCAAACACACAGTAACACCGAGTTAGACACCCCCTAAAGTGGCTTTTTGGTTGAGGTTTGTTTATGGCTCCTGAGACCGCTGTGTATTGCTATCCTGTGGTTGTTACTAAAGTTGGTATAACTAGAGAAGCAAGCTCTCTGCAACATTCATCTCTCGAAGGTGTGTCTAACTCGGTGTTACTGTGTGTTTGACCCTAAATTAATTTTACGCCCTAATATCCCTTTAATACAGGACTGGAAGTGTGTCTACAGGACTTGGCACATGGTGACAATAAACCTTGGACTGATTCGACATGGTCTCTGTGACATCAACTCTTGGTTTCTTAAGAGGTGTTGTACAGCTCATAGTTGGTGGTCACCATATTGGAAATACTGACTCCAACCAACTTCCTGTGAGGCTAGAAACCAGCTGGAGATGAGGCCATAACTTTCCCACATGACACACATAATTCTTAGCATTTATATAAATAAAACGAATGATTTATCAAACCATTCATCTGTCTACAATAGTCACATATTTTAAAAAAGGGTCTTTAGAGACCAAAACTGTTTTTGAACAAGGCTGTTCAGACATTTCACCCCACTGTTAAGAAAGGTTTTTTAATGTTTTCTAATGGGGATAGTTTGGGCTTTTGCTGCAAGCCTCAAATGGACCCTCATAAAACAGCAGTTTTTATTTATTTATTCTTCATTGTTTCAACACTGGAGGTTGATGTTTCATCTAGACATTTCCTGCATAAAGAGGTCAGTAAAATGTAATCAATCGTAGCCCATACAGGGAACAGGTAAAAGATACCATTTATTAAACTGACCATACAATGCATGGGTGAAGTCTCAGTGACTCCACCAAAAAACAGTGTTTTAAGTTTATCAGTGGTGAACACCATATTGGAAATGCTGACTCAACCCAAGATTCGGTGAACAAAACCTCTGACCCAGCAGAGATTTTGGACCACGTCAGCTAATCTGAATACTAACCCTTGTCCTTGACCTCTGGTAGTTTTATTTAATCCGTTATATTTCACACTTTTGATTTTCGAACTGGTCGTATGATACAGAAGTCGTAACACCACACATTTGCTTGTGATAAGTCTTCTTGAATATTTTCTACAGCGTTTCCACGTCAGCTCGACCCAACTTCTGGAGAAAAATTTTACTAGGGGACTGGCAGGAGAAATTGACCTTTTGGGGATTTATCTTGGCTGCAGGCATTTTTCACTGGAATGATTCATAATACAAACCCCACAGCCCACAATGTCAGGGGGTCACTAAAGCTAGAGTCGTAACAACCGAGAAGGAGACCACTGGTTTTATTCAGTGTTTTTATCAGAAAATGTATTACATCATGTAGATATTCACCATCTGCACTAAGAAAGCTTGTAACTGCTCAGTTCAGCCAAAATCAACGTATTTCCTCCAGTGCTATCTCACTACGGTTTATCAGCATTTGAGAGATTTTGTTTTCCTAAAAGCACTAAGATATTACATCAATGTTAGAGTATTTCCAGAAACAGCATCTGCACTTTAGTAAACTCGCCCTTTAAAGACATCGGTTTGTGAGGTTTCTCTCTCTTCTCTATCAATCACCCTTACAGGCAACATTTTACAGGAAAAATACTGTTTCATAGCACAGAGGGGGGGTTCGAGGAAAGATAACTTTCGAGACAGATTTACATGTTAAACGTTACGAGCACATGTTTTGGTGCTTCTGCACAGCAATAAGCAAAAGATTTATAGTTCTATCCACGGAAACGCTCAGGCAAGAGAAAAGATTCATGACACGACTCTCTTGCATCAGACGTTTTCTTGTTAAGAGACTAATTAAAATCAAATGCCGAAGATTCACATGCAGCCTCCATGTGTCCTGGCCAGAGAATGTAGCACCGCACAAAAATAAACATAAGTATTTATATCGAAATAAACACTGGCCTCGTGGGGACATTTGAGGGAATGACTTTGGCAGCGGTACTGAAAACCACTGTCATCCCTCATTTAAAGCAATATTACTCACTTGGACGTTGTGCATATAAGGAGCCTTTTTTAAAGGGATGTCAAAACAACTGGGGATGAACACGCTGAGGTATTTATTTACATGACTATTTAGCAATTTAGCTCAGTCAAGGGAATAATCAATTTGTGGGTTTATGGTTTTGTCATTTATTTCTCCATTCGTATTCCAGTGGTCACTTATATTATCGTTAAAGTCTAATAGTCATTGAACTTCATTACATTATGTCAGATGATCTTAATGGTGGGCAGACCTTAGGTTACTAAGTAGTGTAGGCCTACTTGCTGGGTGTGTTAAATATTGAGACACTAGCTTAAGAGACGGTTAATCTAATACAACTATTTTGGCTTTTTAGGCTTTTTAGGTTTGTAAGTTTTCATGCTCTGCCAACAAAAGTGGCTATATAAACAGATTAAATACACGATTCCAGTTGAAACGGTTGAAACGGTTGAATGGTCTGGTCCACTGTGGGTGAATTCTGTGAATGACCCAGAGCCTGGTAGGAAGTGGCTCTTGAAATAAGAGGTTTCAGGAAAACCTATGCACTGAGGCAGTTAAGCATGACAGAGATGACTCGGTTGCCAATGTTTCTGATGATGCGGTAGCCGACTCTGGATGTCATAAACTCAACTGCTAAGCCCACTTTGGCCAGACAATGTCCCTGTGGGCGACCGCCACAATGTTTTAAACTGGAATCAGATGAAGAATGAATGTGGGACTGATATAACTTTAGAGTTAAAACCTTTTTCTTTGTTTAACTTTAGAGTTAAAACCTTTTTCTTTGTTTGATGGTAAATCGTCCTGAAGTAACAAATGTTTCCCTGAGAAAGATTCCTTAATCCAGAAAGATAACTCTTGAGCTTTCTTTAAGTCTTGTTAACTTTCAGAGAGTTTATTGGTTACAAGAGATTTGTTAAGACTGAAGGTGGTGTCATCAGGCACATGGCATGACTCAGACTTTTGGTCATGAGGTCCTTGTAGCTGCCAGAAAAGACAACACAAGGAGAAAAAGGAATCAGGGGTAGGAGCATAAACCTGAAGCAGACATAGAGGAGAGCAGTTTATAGATTATGAAAGGATAAATGAGAGGCACAGGCTTGGTCTTGTTCTTCAGCCCGTGTTAAATTTAACTTTATTATTTTGTGGCTTTCCTTGAGTTGAAACTGTTTATATCCCACTTTCAGCACCCGAGAACGGGAAAACTGCCTCTGAGAAAATCGCTGCCACAGACAGACTTTACTACAGTCTCATATCCACTGGGGCTTCTGACCCACTGTGTCTTAAGACAAGCTTCAAATTCACTAAAAACTGAGAGGAGCAGGAGGATTTGGGTCGTATCACTTTACATGAAGAGCCTCTGAAGCCTGCGATGAAGTTGTTTCTTCTGTTTATATGCAGTGAATTGAGTCAGGGGAGGGAGATTTGGAACAGATTAGACTCAGATGTGCACAAAATCCAAGGAACGTTCTTCAAAAGTCGCTTTTTCCAGTTAACATTCGGTCAAATCGTTGAAAGACTTAGTTTTATCAAGTACTCTCTGTGTGAGCGCCTTATTTTTCAGAGTATTTTGACACTAATATGATTTTGTTGCACACATTCGGAGGTGTTATGGAAAGCAGCTTCTGTTACTTTCTCATGCTGGAGGCCGGCAGAGACTTTTTTTTTTAGCTTGGCGCTGTATTCTAGTAATTAAAATGCCTCCAGAAATGAGCAGCTAGTCTGTTGTTTTTCTCTATTATAGACAGACGATAGTCTTCCTACAGCAGCACCAAAAGTACTGCTTGTGCAAAGAGGAATACTAATTAACCCTTTTTATATCCCTCACACTGTCATTACCACACACACACACAAACTCTACCATACTAATGCAGCATCATCAGCCAGTGTCATGGCCTTGTGTAATCTGAGAAGTAGATGTATGAATATGCTTTTTTATAACAAAGCCTGCAACACTAAAATCAGATGAGATATCTGCTCTAACTCTGATGCACTGAGGGGATTATTTTATGGTCCAAATTTTGAAAGCTTACTGAGGTTTACTTTGTTAGATTCATTGACTGCATTTCACTTAGCAGCTACCACTAACTTTACATATTTTAACCCTCCTCCTGTGTTAGCGTCTGCGCCGATCGTTTTTGTTTTTAAATGCTTAAAAGAATCACATAAATTAGCGTTTTTGCATCAAGACTTTTTGACTTTGTCAGGAACCTCTATTTCAACAAAATAAAAAAATTAAATTGACTGAATTATAAAATGCGCTTATTAATATTATGGCACTTGTCGTGTCAGGGTTGCTGTTGACCCGGTTAGATCAATATCTAATAATTAAAGCAAAGACTAAAATCATAAGTGCACTATCAGGCACCACACTAACAGTCAGATCCTCTTCCAATGATGTGAGATTTAGGAAATTCTCATTTGACATATTTTTCTCTGCACAAAAAACTACGTCCAACATGTCCAGACATGTGAGATCAATTCAGTATAGATGTCTGTATGAGGGGTATACTGACAAAAAAAGGCCTAGAGGCCCACAACAAAAACTAATGTAAGCAATATTTTCATGGATAATGAAGCCTTACGAGGTAACCTTGAGATGAGAACCAAATTGGATGATAGAGAATTGTTTTTAGTGTAATTTACAGCTGATTTAAGACACGGGTCAAAACCAACCCTTAACATAGTGGGTGCGTAGTAAAAGCTAACACAGGAGGAAGGTTAACAATCAATCTGGACCCAAATACCTCCTCTCTGAGCCATCAATGTCAACTTGTACTCTAAGCATGAGGAGTTTTGTAGTTTTGCACTGGTGATTACAACAGAAAGCAGAGTTGGTCTGAGCTGGGGGAAGCATGGACCCCACAGTATTGCAGACAACCAA